AACTGTATTCTGTAGTTAATGGGTAGCCAATGGAGCCTGTTCAGTGAAGGGGTGATGCGTTCGAAACGACCTACATTGCAGATTAGGCGAGCGGCCGCATTTTGCACTCTCTGTAGTTTATGTAGTTGGCTGTTAGGCAACCCATATAGCAGGCTATTACAAACGTCCAAACGACTAGTTACAAAAGCATTTACTAGAATCTTTGTACATTCAAAGTTAGGAAATTTTCTTATCCTTTGATGTTGTATAAGTGAAAAAGTGCGGTTTTACAGATGCTTGAGTGTCCATCTCAAGTTGTCCATCGAACCAGCAGCCTAGGTTCTTGACTCTGCAGGTTGGAGCGATGCTACTCAGTTTCACCTGCCGGCATGGAGTCTATGTTGAATTTGGCGAGTTGTTCAGTGTCTCGTTCCGATTACTATGGTCTTATCGTCGTTTAGCCAGTCGGTACGAAAAACTGGATTTTTTAGGACAGGAAGCTCTCTTGTAGGAAATCGGATTTCAAAAAAAAAAAGAGCAGTGAAAGCAAAATACACCTGTAGACCACTTTAAGTCTGTCTAACTCCGGACATAAAAAAGCGAACTCGTTAATGAACAAGAAGCCGGAAAAAAACACTCGCCCTATCGCGTTTTCCAGGGTTTTGAAATTCCTATCTCAACTGTATAATCAGCAGTTGATACTTTATTCGCCGGTAACCAGTGGCAAATATACATTCGCAGCTCCTGCCTGAATCTTTGACTTTGAAGGGTGTAAACGATCGGATTCAAACACGAGCTTAAACCAACAGGTATGACGCATGCGTGGTAAATTAGGGACCCATATTCTACTAATCCAGGAACGTGATAGGCTACCAAATATGATGTCACGTCTGGAAGCCAACACAATGCGTGAAGCACCGTCACTATTATGGCAATTTTCGTGATTCGCTTGCGTGATTTGACTACCGCCAATGAAGTGCCCGAAGTTATTGATGGGCCCCAAAGGGTTTTCACAGTCTTGGCGTATAGAACAACCATCAGCACGAGAGGAACTGAGAAGTCCACGACGAAAGTAAAGACGGTGTAAATCTTGCCATGTACAAGTTGAGACCAGTTTTCAAAGCATGATGAATGATTTTTGTCATAAATCATTACGGTCATTGGAGGAATCTCTGAAAGAATGGAAAAAATCCAACCACAGAGAATAACCGACATTAGTTTTTTCCTCGGTAATTGTCGTGCAATAGTTCTGGTTCGAGTGGCATAGAAACGTTCGATGGCGATCATAACATGCATGGTAGTAGCAGCGCACCCTCCAACCCACAAGGTGAACCCGCCTGTAAACAACTTACAAATGAATGTTCCAGCCCATCCATCAGGGTGGGTATATACGGGACGAAGCACATATTGAGGGATCAGAGATGTTGCCACCAGAATGTCAGCCAGTGCTAAGTTGAGGAAAAGGTAGTTGATTGTATTCTTCTTGGACTTTGAGCGAATTAAAACAAGCAGTACCAGTAGGTTTGGAATCAAATTGAAGCTCATTAAGATAGAAAAGACCACCGACAAAATATTTTGCGTTCTGTCAGTTATCATTGTGGCTCAGTTAAACGAAAAGTGTTGTTTTTCTGTGGAGAGAAATGTATGATTAGTCCAATATAAAAGATTGAAAAATCTGTGCCGTACTTATTTTTCAAGGAGATTTAAGCTTTTTTCATTTTGAAAAAATTGTGAGTTTTTTTTCGGATCAACTGAAAATGATTTCACCTGTTCATTGTCTGTCGAATACGATTTATGAAATTTGAAACTCAATAAGTACACGGCTCTTTCACTGGAAAAAATACGTCTGTTGGTAAATCTTACCTTTCCGATCAGTGGTTCAATTATAACATACCTGATCCAGGTTTGATTTCTTTTCTGCTAAAGATGAAATGGTTTCACAAAAGTAATCCCAATGAACGACAAAGCCACCAATAAATTATTCAAATACAAAGGAAGCTAGTGTACTGGACAGGTGTCAAAACAAATGGCTGACTTAATTTGTCAGACGCAAAGTAAATCTTTGAACTAAGAACGAGCGCTAAGTTGAACACATGGCACGCCAGATTCGTGGTCATTTTTTAAATAAGCGATGAAGCTACGTCAGTTTTGAATAAAATTTTCCACTCCTTAATTTCTTCTTCGTCATTACATTAAAGTTCTAAAGTTGTTTATCAATATTGTTTTAATTTTTAAAAGGTCAAAATTGCAACAAGAAACTAAATGTGCTTGAATTGAGCTAACCGCCTCCTGGTTAGCTCAATTGGTTAGAGCGCCGGATTGTGTGTGCGGGAGGTCGAGGGTTCGAGCCCCGGCCGGACCAATACTCATGGTCTTAAAATAACTGAGGAGAATTTGCTACCTTTCTATAACATCAATGAAATGGTTAGATATTCTAGTCTTCTCGGATAAGGACGAATAAATGGAGGTTCCGTCTCCTGCAGGGTTAGGGGTAGGAGACGTTATCCAAATCTTGAAAAACAACATCATTACATATGTTGACAGCAATTTAAAAAGTTCTTGATCGTTTATTTACACAATCTAATTGAATTTATCTGACCTTCTTCCTGATCAAGATTAAAAATAGGTCAAAAGTAACCAGTTATTTAACTACTTTTGGAAGGCAAAGTGTAGCTCTTTTCGATCGCCAAAGGATTTTTTGGCGAAATGATTCAGTCCGATTTAAATCAAATTTTAAAGTTGGATAAAATGAGCTGATTTTACACATTTACACGCAAACGCAATTGTTTCTCATTTTACATCCAATCTACAGTTTATTTAACATAATATCATCTTACCGTCCATATTGCTGTATCACAAAATGAGATTGCAGTCCTGAAATTGTTGCATCGATCTCATAATAGCGATATGGCTTAGCAGGGTAGTCAACACTTCCCGATAATGATTGTTTACAAAGCGTACCTCGGTGTTTCTCTATTTCCATTTTGTTGAAAAGGAGGCTGACGTGGGACGTGGGACTCGGAGACGTGAGACTCAGGACTCGGGAACGCCGGGGACTCGGAGAGGCCGGGACGCCGGGACTCGCGGAAGTTGGACGCGAGGAAGAAGGACGCGAGGAAGTCGGGACTCGGTGACGCACGGGGACTCAGAGACGTGATAAACAAACAACACCTGATTCCAGAAAATCGATGCGAACCTATTACAACAGACGAGATTGAGTTGTCTACCTTCGATGATCTATTGCGAATCGTAAGGAATAAATGAGAGTGTTTACAATTTAATTCTGATGAAGAATTGCGGATTCAGTACGAGGACCATGACGATGCTTTCGTCGCAAAGAAATCGCAACATGCGTCCGTTGTAGTTACTTCGCATCGATCTTCCAGAAAAGAAAGTAAAATAAATTGCTAAAACTCTAATTTATTAATTCTTCATCAGGAATGAATTGTTAACACTGGAGTTCTACTGAATCCGCAATTTTTCATCAGGAATAAATTGTGGACACTCTAATTTATTCCTTACGATTCGCATCAGATCATCAAAGGCAGACACCTCAGTTTCGTCCGTTGACGCTACAGATAACTGTTACGCACGTCTCCAGAAAAACAGTCGACTTGTTTCGGTAGTATAATACCTTTCTCGAGACCACCAAAAATTATGTTACAAACTCAGCGCAAAAATCAGGTGTTGTTTGTTTACCACGTCTCCGAGTCCCGACTTCCTCGCGTCCCGGCGTCCCCGAGTCCTACCTTTAGTCACAGCCAAGTTAAAGACAAATTTTAATAAAAGCGAACGGTTTGATCCATCAATGTATTTAAAAAATGAAGTTACAAGTTTTCTATACACTATTATATCTATACGGCGCGTCATTGATGCACTTGTGACAAGGCTAAGCTAAATTATCCAGGGGCTCTTTGAATCAAATTTTTGCCCCCAAATGCGTTTCTTAACATTATTGCCGCTTACGACGGTATTCCATGACTAATTAAATTATTAATGAACAGAACATGTTGAGACGCTGTGGCGGGTCTTTGTTTGAAAACCATCGCTTGTAACAACCTCACTAGCTTCAAACTTCATCCTTAAAATGTTCTTTAACCGCAGGAAGTCATTCAAAAACGCGCACACATAGAAACTTGATTTTAATTATCAGACTGGTGAAGAAATCATTATCAAAACTAACCAACGGAGACTGTCTTCGAATAACACGGAGCTGTCCCTGGGTATTAAAAAGCCACTGGAGACCTTACAATTCTCTGAAGAATATAAGAACGCCATTCCATTTCAGGGGGAACAGAAGGCACAGTCGGAAATGTGATGGGAAAAAAGCAATAGCCATTGCTGTTTTAATACGAGATTCTCCGAGAAAGGGGTATCGTGGAGGAACAAACGGTTAGCTCCACGGTAGCCACAGTTTTATCACTTCTCTTTCAAGAAGGGACCTAACGGTAGTTGTCATTAACAAATTTAACCGTGTTCCAGAACTTCCCTCTGAAGCCATACACTCTTCAAAGAATTCTTAAAATTCTCCATTGTTTGAACACGCTCATGCTCAGAGAGTCCATTCTGAGAGAAAGCGACTCCGCACGAATACATATATCTTATGAGACGTTTTGTTGTGTAGTATCGCTGAGTATTTTTACGAGTTATGCCGTATTTTGACGAGCCCGTTGGCCGAGTCAAAATACAATGAGTAAAAATACTCAGCGACACTACACAACAAAACGTCTAATAAGAGATTTATTATCCAGGACGCCAAGTTATTTCAGTGCGGGCGAATTTCGCGGATATTTCTTGATATTTGTACTCGTCTCGTGCGTTATTTGTACTCTGCGAGGCACAGTTGGATAATAAAGCCCAGTATTTTCTGGTAAGTCGAATTCAGTTGGGTATATCATGTACGGCTCCATCCATGGGGACAAGCTCTAAGTTTCATTTGCCATCATCTGTTTATGAAGCTGTAATAATTCTCTAAAATAACACCATAATTTCTTATCAGTAATTATACTATGAGTCATGGAATAAAACCTAGGACGGAGGAACGTCACATTTTTGTCTGTATAATCATTTTCTGTGCAATGGCCGCATATTCCTTGTGTCCAGAGGAACCTTTCTGTTTGACGTACTCCAGTGTGCGTATCTGTTGAAGAAACAAAACAAAGAAATAAACAAAGCCATGAAGATTTCCTCACATTGCTGATGGTAATTTGGGGGTTTGTGAAGGTTAGTAGCAATTACAGAGGCTTTAAACGATTTACAAATTGTATTGACATGCACCAACCTAAATGACAGATTGAAAAATGATACTTTAGGGTACAATATTTTATTCATTGACTTATATCTTCGTGTAGTTGCAATGATTATCTCATTTTTGCTGCACTGCGCTGGCAGCTTCAGTCAGCAGTAATAGTCGGTAACTGCCTTCGCTAGTCTGTGAGCTCTGTCTCTTTTGATTATCATGTGTGACTAGAGTACTAAAGTATTTGTACTTACTGTGTATTTGGTATTTCCGTAGCCATGTTTCTGAGCGAGATTCCACAAATTAAGGGCCAAGGTAGCTAGCTGAGGTCGTGAGAGATCAGCATGACATAACAGCCTTGAAAACAAAACAAAAAAATTTGTCCAGTTGAGTACTCTGATTAAAAGGACTAACATCCTGTTCAACAACAGTGACACTCAAAATTGATCAAAAGATGACTAACGCAAAGAGAAAGCATCACATTTCTTTTGAGAGTCAACATGGAAAAATTCAAAACGTTTTCAATCACTACCGCCGAACAGACGACAATGAGCATGGAGTATTTGTAACAGGTTAGCTGAATCCAAGTGCTTGTTTTGTCAATAGTTGCACCATGATACAGACATCTAACCCTCACTACTGCGAAGTTTATTCTTATTCGCAGACAAATGCATAATCTAGATTTACTTTTGCTAACCTGTTGAAGAACCCGATAGCTATAGCGGCCTGCTTTTTGAGCTCCTAACAAGAAAGGACACAAAAAGACAGTGCCAGTGACAGTAAATACATAGCATTTGTACAAACACTGTTTCTGCCTCAACACTACCAAGGTTTTTTTCAGTGTTTCGCAGAATTCTAAACCTAGTCCGTAAAAGGGAGCCTGGGAAGTAAACAAGGTCTCGGGACGTAAATGCTCCTGATTTAATCAATAAAAAATTAGGAGTACCCCATATGTAATAATGAATCCCTTTAGGTCACGCGATAGTCAAAATAACCAAAATGTCATTTGACTTTCTAGTAGACTTACCTCTTCGGAGGTCAATGACTTTAGGTGTTCAAACACTGCTTCTATTAGAGTAGAAACTAGTCGATTTATCTCTGCCAGAAATTTCTTATCACAACCGTACAATCTGTCGTTCGAATCCACTGAAAACAAACAAACGAATAAACCAAAGAAAAAGAAACATACAAATTATTTTGTGAAATTAACTTACCGATACTTGCTTTCTTTAATTGACAATTTTTTCAACAAGCACTAATTCTTCTGTGTTCTTTATTTTCCTCGTTATCGAACAGCGATATTGTTTGTTGATATTGAAGGAGAAAACGGGTGGTAATACAGACGTTCAGTTTGAGAACTTAATTACCTACCTTTATCAGCATGATATAAGAAATATTCCTGCAAAAAGAGATGAAAATTTCAGCCATTTTCCGTTTCTTTGAATAACCACGCGCACTCGAAGGATCATACAAATTCAGTGATACAGAAACCCACCTGACTCATGGCGGAGAGAAGACTGACGGCATTTAGGTAAATACTCATTTTGGCGCCGCTGTTTAATTCCCAAGTGTACTCCTGTACAACATTAAGCAGGCTTCGAACAAGATACAACGCACCTTGATCCGGCGAGTCCTTGAGAAAAAAAAAAAAAACAAGAACACCTCACAAGATAAGTGCACTGTTCACAAGAGCAATACTCAGTTAGGTGACAAAGGTAATCCGGGACTGCATTGGTTCCACCTTACGACGAACTATGACTATTCTAGAAAGGTTACGTTTTATATTCAGCCAATCAAATGCAAGCCTAAAATCATGACGTAATCAGTATTTCCCACGCTCGTCTTCATTTCTCATTGGCTCCTTGTTCCATTTCTGTTCTGTTTTGACTGGCGGTTCTGATAACTTGGGTTTTGTTTTCGAGATACTCGGTCAAAATTGGCTCCCAACACTACTACAGTTATCATTACTAGCAAGAGCTGCAGTTATAATATCGGACAAACATACCGGTACTACCAACAAGGTAGAGAAAAAATTGTTCATGTAGGCAAGTAAGTATGACTCCGAAGATTTCACCTTGTGGTCAATTTCTAGAAAAAAAGAAAAGAAAGAAAACACAAACAAACAACCATCGAAGTTTTCGCTTGTTTGACATCTCAATTTGACATAATTCGACTTGTGTTTCTCTAACTTTTCAAGGTTAAATATAAATGTAGTGATGTTGTATTCAGGGGAAAGGATCAACAAAAGCTACACGCCGAAAGTAACACAATTATACAAAATAACTTAGGAAAATAACGTTAACAGTAGTTTTTATTTTCGTTTAATTGTTACTTTCTCCTTGAGTATTTCTCACGAGGAGAACGCACAGGGTAACTGGTTTGTTGTTCTGAGTCAGTTATCTCACCGATCGTTCGAGGCACATCAGCAACAAGACTAATGGCCGCTCCGAAAAATGCATCCGCTGAAACGTGAAATACAAATTGCGTTACATCGTTTAATTATACAATCTTTCATTTCAATCAGCAACAATTTCAACCCAAGAAACGACTTAAACCATCGCTAAGAAGCATTGATTTTAATTTCCGTTTAACCACATGGTTTAACAGTGGCTAACGGAGATGTGCATGCATATCCTTAAGAGATCTGCTGACCTTGACTGAGGGCTTGATTTGCCAGGGCAACCTGTCCAGAGTGGAGGTAGAGCTTGAGGCGAGTGAAAACGTCATCTATGGAGGGGATGGTAATGAAACAGAACGCCACACAAGCCTGTTGGGAACAGGGCATAGCAATGTTTAGTCAATTCATTGCAAGTACTGAGATCAATCAAGCAAACGCTCTCCTCTTACTCTGATGAAGGCCGCAGTCTTTCGAGTGTGGTTCCCTTTTACTACTTCTCGAGTCCTCATAGCGAGAAGATTAACACTCTGTTAACAAAGGAAAGAGACATAAGAGCACCGTTATGGCTACAGTAAACAACTGGCGCCGATTGCCTCTGAAGCACACGTGTACTGGTAGGTATGATTTCACAAAAGTGAATGTCTCAAAACTCCTTTCAATCAAATACAAAACTTAAACCGAATCTCAAAACAAGCAGTTGGCTGGTTTCTATTTTGAGTTCTCACTGACACCTTGGGATATTTTGCTCTGCTGTATGCCGTATATTTCAGTTTTTGCTTGTCGACTCTGGTCGCTTCGCGCTATAAGCAAGATTGGATTACCTCAACAAGCATAACAAGAACTGTTTCTAGACTTGAGAAAGAGGAACGTGCATCCACATAAGAATCCAGTTGCCTCTCAAAATCACGGCCAAAGTCAATCTGAAACGGTAACTAAACCAATTATTATCAAATGAACACTGACTTTGAATTCGAAAGAAAATCATGATGCTACTGCTTTTACGGCAAAATTTCAGTCTTTTTTTAATCAAAGACAACATACGTACAACACTCTTCGTTTCCTATCAGAGCTCTACCATCGACCTTCAGTCACAAATGAAAAACAAATTGGTGTAAATCATTGAGCCGAATTACAATCCCAATATCTTACCTTACGCAGGAATCCTGTGATTAGATGACCGATGACTCTTCTCTCATCTATCAAGGTCAATGCACTGATGACAAAAGCGACAAGCATCTCATTTGATAATTCTAATTTTTTTTATCTTCTAAAATAGAATAACCATACTTTTTAACTAAGAATAACTACTGCGATGACAAACTCTTGGGTACTTACTTTACAGAGTCGTGCATCGTTTTACAAACGTACAGCAAAGCGTTCACAACTACAGGGTCATTTGTAGGTTCCTCTTGGTATCTGTGAAGGTGACCATAGTTTTTTTATTCTCACAAGTTAAATTTAAAGTAAGCAACAATTTCATTCACCTTGTTAAACAGGCGTAATTCTTTGGCAATTGTCAGTCGAAAGCACGCAAGCATGAGGGAAACGCGGGAAGAACCCAAGGCGAACACAAAGGACAAGTCACTCCAGAAAAAAACAATAACGATCGGATATTCATCAAAGAGCAAAATTGCAATAGTTGCTGCAGAAACTCACACAAGCATGCCCATAACTTTAGCCACTCACTTCACAAAAGCTTCCAGGATCAGTTTGCAAACATCCACTTTTATTGATTCTTTTTGGAACATGTCCAAGAAAGGAAGAAACTTATCCTGTAAAATACACACATAGTTAACCGGTTTAAGTACTTCTACACGAAAGAGACATTTGTTTTGTTGGAAAGGAAAAGAAATCAAACGTTCAGAAGTACACTTACCATTGATACAAGTACAGAGAAGTCGTGCATGTGATCTAATACTTTGGAAATGATCGACTGAAGCTGTTGGAAACAGAGATAACGTTTATTATTATTGTTGTTATTTTCATTGTTCATTTTCATTTGCCACCTTGAACCTACAAATAATATAATGGAAATAATGAACCAAACAAAAACAGAATAAAGCAAAACAACAAAAGGGAAAAAATGGAATCAAGGGATAGAAGAATCTAAGGAAGACCGTACTTTTGAAATTTTTATCAAGAGTTTTCTCACTTGTTGAATTAGAGATTTTTAATGCCTGGGCTGAAAGTCTGAGGATCTTGATACTGAAGTGACAAAAGCTCAGCTTTAAGTTGTTTTCGCATTGCGGGGACTTGAAAATAACTTTTCCGTTGATCAGGTTTTCACAGTGGCAAAGGCTTTTACAAGGCAAGGTTATTCCTCTGTAATGGAACCTGCATTCAGATTTAATACCTTTACCAATGCATGGGGTTGTTTATCTTAAAAAGAATTCTATTTTGCAGCAATACCTGAGGGTAGTGTTGTTCAAATGCCCTTTCCGGTGTCATATGCTTGATAACGTCTCCGATGAGGGTATTAACCTCGCGTTTCTAAAGATAGTTTTCAGTCATAAACATACCTGGATCAATGTTTAGTCCTTCACAAATAACTGAATGCACAAATAAAGCGTTGAAAAATTGTATTTTAGATTTATTTAATGAAACCTGTTCGGCGTTAAGGGATTGAGTTTCGATTCCTGTGTCGATATGTTTTGAACAGCGGAGCCACACGAGTTTTATCAATTCACATATATATTAAGACTTGCTCCAGTATCCTTTTTGTCTGCAATTAACCCAGGATTGCTGCTAGTTGGTTTTCGTGCAACTCTGATTGGTTTTCCGAACCAGAGATAACAAGAAACCTTAACTAAGTCAGTAGTTGTTTAGTTAAACTTAGTGCCTCCAAGAGGGATGCCTTCAACGCTGCTAAGAGGACAGTTCAGTTAGAACTCCGTCACATGCAGGACGATTGGTACAGCCGGCAAGCAGACACCATCCAGGGTTACGCTGATATCAAGGACATAAAGAACTTCTACACCGCCATCAAGGCCGTCTACGGTCCCACCATATCCAGTTCACCCCCTCTCCTCAGCGCAGATGGGAAGACACTGATATCAGACAAGGGGAAGATCCTTGAGCGCTGGGCAGAACACTTCCACAGTGTCCTTAACCGCCCCTCGAACATCAACGAGGAAGCCATCGATCGTCTCCCGCAAGTCCCAATCAACAACACACTAACTGACCCACCCACAGAGGCAGAAGTCGCAAAAGCAATCAAACGACTCTCCAGTGGCAAGGCACCTGGTGCTGACTCCATTCCTGCGGAGGTCTATGCTGCTGGCGGCCCAAAGCTGATCGAGTGTCTCACCAGCCTCTTCGCCACCATATGGACTCAGGAAAAGCTGCCACAGGAGCTCAAAGACGCCTCCATCATCCACCTCTATAAACGCAAAGGGTCCAGCAACTCCTGCGACAACCACCGCGGCATCTCCCTGCTCTCCATCGCTGGGAAGATTCTAGCTCGCATCATGCTGAACCGCCTCAATGCACACCTAGAGCACGATGTGCTTCCTGAGAGTCAGTGCAGATTCTGCACAGGCAGAGGCATGGCCGACATGATCTTCGCAGCCCGCTAACTACAAGAGAAGTGCCAGGAGCAGAATGTTGGTCTCTATACCACCTTCGTGGATCTCACTAAAGCCTTTGACACTGTCTGCCGCGAGGGGTTGTGGAAGATCATGGCCAAGTTTAGATACCCCGCCAAGTTCAATGCAATGGTCCGACAGTTCGATGACGGCATGTATGCTAGAGTGCAGGATGATGGCGAGTGCTCAAAGCCCTTTCCAGTCACCAACGGCGTGAAGCAGGGCTGCGTACTGGCTCCAACCCTGTTCAGCATGGTGTTCTCGGCAATGCTATCGGACGCCTTCCGTGACGTAGACGTAGGTGTCAGATTCCGATACCGTACTGATGGCAGCCTCTTCAACCTCCGGAGACTACAGGCCAAGAACAAAGGACGCGTGGACACAGCCCGTGACTTCCTGTTTGCTGATGACTGCGCGCTCAACACTAGCACAGAGTCAGATATGCAGGAAAACATGGACCTGTTCACACAAGCCTGTGACGACTTTAGTCTCACCATCTCCACCAAAAAGACCGAGGTCATGCACCAGCCAGCACCTGCAACGGCCTACACCGAACCCATCATCACCGTCAACGGCCAGAGACTCGCTGTAGCAGACAAGTTCGTCTATCTTGGTAGCAATCTGTCAACATCGACGCGGAGGTGGCCTACCCAATAGCCAGAGCCAGTGCTGCCTTTGGCAGACTGAAAGACAAAGTCTGGGAGCGCCGGGGCCTAAAGCTCGAAACCAAACTGTCTGTGTACAGGGCCGTTGTTCTCCCAACCCTGCTCTATGCACGCGAGACATGGACTGTCTACAGCCGGCACGCCAAACAACTCAACGTCTTCCACATGAGATGCCTGAGGACCTTGCTTCGCATCAGGTGGCAGGACAAAGTATCAGACATGAAGTCCTCCAGCGTGCTGAATCAGGGAGCATCCATGCCATTCTTCTGTGCTGTCAGCTCCGGTGGGCAGGCCACGTCCGATGAATGGATGACAGCCGACTCCCAAAAAGACTGCTCTTTGGTGAACTTACAGAAGGACAGCGCCCACTCGGTCGGCCTAAAAAACGATACAAAGACTCTGAAAGAGTCTCTTAAGCGCTGACATTCCCTGCTCTACATGGGAAGCGATTGCTGAAGACCGTCCTGCATGGCGCTCGCTTGTGAGAGCAGGAGTGCTGGCATTCGAGGTCAACTGCAGCCGTAAGAAAGATCAGAGTCGCCAGAGAAGAAAGGAAAGGAATTCAAACCCTCAACCTGGCCCAGTCCCCAGCATCCCCTACCTGCATTGCGTCAGACACTTCCGCGCGAAGATTGGACTTATCAGCCATCTCCGCACCCATCCCGCCCCACAGTGATTCGAAGTCATGGTCTTCTTCGCCAGCAAAGGACGAACATTAATCAATAGTCCGTGACGTTTTTCCTTTGTTCCTGTTTTTTTTTTTTGTTACGTTACGTTTCGGTACATATACACGAGGTAGAGTTTGGTCACATGTTTTCTGGACTGTAGCTTCTCACACGTGTTCTTATCGACGAGCTCTTGCGGGCTGTAAACTCTTCTTTTAATCGTTTGGTTCGCACAAAATGTAAGTAGGATTTCGATTGACGCTTGGTTTTAGGTATTCACTTTGTTTATTTGTCTTCTTGTTTGTTTCCTTTCTCAGTTTTCACCGTCTTGTAACCGTTTTTCGCGACATGTTCATACTATCAATTGTGATGGTCGAAAATTAAAGGAATATTACGGATAACGCGTCCAAGTTTTGTGCTATCCCCAACAGTAGTACTTACCGTGAAGTTTTTACAAACGTACTCTATCCAGGCCTCTGCACAGGCTATGTAGTCCTGAGAAAAAAGACGGAACGAAAAATGCTCATGCACATCAAAGAGGAAAATTTAAAAGCTCTTAAAATTGAGTGAGAGTTCAGTGCTATTTTTTCGAATTAACTTCATTTATCTTACATCTGTTATAAAACCCGTTCGAATGATAACCCGACTAAAAAACTGTCTTAATACACAAAGTCAATTTAACGTAAACGCAGCAGAAGTTTTACGTAAGTTACTCACCGGTGGATGTTTCATTTTCATTACAACCTTCCAAACCTTCAGAAATAAAATATCGCCACTATTAGTAAAAGGGCGGGGTTTTGACGGTAAGCCTTCTGGTAAATTTCATTTTGTAAATCTTCTTTTATTTTGCCTTGTTTCTCTTTACTTTATTCAGTCTGTTTTAATGTCTAATTTTTTTTCAATCTTCTGCCTTTCAGTAAGGGAAGAATTGTTCCAAAATGTTTTAATAAAGGATGCGGAGTAACAAATTATAAATGATTTGTTGAGGCGTCTAACCTCGCTAAGAATCTGTAGTCTCTGTGCTTCAGGTGGATCACACAGGCTTAAGTTCATTCCAAGTGATTTGTACAGGTGATGCTAGAGATGAGAAAATAAATGCATCGTTAGAGCGGAATTCCACGACAGAAAGTGTCCCACGTTATCAACGCACGAGGACGACACTAACAACGCATTTGATAGAAGTATCTGATCAAGACTTTGTGGCTAGTTCTCAACTCTTGAATTGGTCATCATTAAGAACTAGGTAGTATTTATAGCGAGAAATTCTCAACGAGCCATCAACGGGACTGCGTTCGTTTACTTAGCTCTCTGATTGGTTCAGAAAACTCGCACCACTCTTTCAACCAATCAGGTTGCAGAATTTAAGTAACTTGTTCCATTTTCCGCGCTATGGTACGTGTGTAAAAGTAGAGCTTTGATTGGCCACTCGAGTTGCTGAACATTGCTCTGATTGGTCGTTGTGTATACTTTGGTTTCAGATAGATGACACTCAGTTCGAAAAAGTTCTACCTTACAGCCGATGCGACAATTACCTTTGGGAATCCTGCCTCCTCACAATTCCTGATCAGTTCAGTAAACTGCAGAGCCCTAGGAAGATAAAATCAGGAAAAATTCAAAATAAACTGGGAGAAAAAATGTCTCTAAAAATGTTTTCGGTCTTGTTTCAAGACTAATTTGTTTATCACTTGTTTCTTTTGCCCACCACTTTAGACTTACCTCTCGGCGATGTATTCTGACTTAAATGCTGTGATAATTGAGTTCAGCAGTAGTGCACTGCAAAAAAAAAAAAGAAAAGAAAATGTTTACTAACAACAAATTTCAGCAAAGTTATAATTAAAGCTTGGTTCTATCTAAAGAAAACACCACTTCACGCACCTGTTGCATTCTTTTTTGCAACGATTTAAGATATCTGTGAGTGTTGACTGAGGAAGAAGAACAGCTTTATTAGAAAAAGAGTAATGGTGACTTTATCACAAAACTACGTCCACCAAATTGAACGTATGGGACCCAAAGCACTAGCTCCATATATTTATCTCACCTCTGGGCTTTTCTGTGCAACACACTGTAGGATCCAGTCCAGAGCTGGGGGATACAACTGAAGGTACTGGGGCATTTCTTACAAAATCACAAATATAATGGATGCTTCATTAATTTCAAAAGTAAGAGACAAAATAACATGGATAACAGATGATTTCTGTTGAGGATGATGGCTTTAAGGTCAAATGAAGAAAGATGCCATACATTTGTCTCATAGGAACTTAGTATGTTGCTAACATGTAGCTTGGAAGCAAGCACTGTGTAAACTGTGCCAGGATTTTTAAAAAGCAACTGAGAGAAACTAACAAATTTTCTTAAGCAGTGTAACATACCAAGCCTCTGCTCTGCCAGAATGTTCTGCACTGTATCACCTTGAAGCTGAAATAATGAAGGGAGAGAATACAATTCAGGTAAAAATTTACTTCCATGTCATAAGCATCACATTCATGAGCCATTTTATGGAGATGGCCATCACACAAGTTTCCAATTTTTTACCAGTACAGTATTTCTAGTTCAGTGGTTACCTGTTTGTAGCTGACTATGAAACTGAACAAGTTTTCAATCAAATGGTCACACACATCAGGTGCCACAAGGATACCAACCTAAAATAGTAGTGAAAAGAATTTAAAAATAATATTGTCTACAATGACATTTTCTTTGCATCAGTGCAAACATAAGACCTTAAATCTTACCCATTGTCTTCTCTCACTTACCCTACAGATGTAAGTTCTTGCATACACTGCAACCAGAGGGTCACCAATACCTCGTATCATTTTGGTGAGGCGAACAAGAGCTTGTGAAAACTCACTGGAATGTAAGATTAATAAATTATGTAACTAATCAATGTGTTGTCAATTATGGGTAAGTTATTCAATTCCAAGATCAATATTTGTGGGAAAATGTTCATGGTAAAATTTGTGAACAAGACTCAACTGTAAAATGTCAGAAATTAATACCCTTTTCCATTATTAAGTAGATTAAATATTGCTGGCAAATAACTTTTTAGAGAAATTTTAAGAGTTGAACACCATTAAACATAAGTACCTTAAACTGCCATGTACAAAAACAATTAATCAAGCATACATCATGACATGGAGTGTCATAACTTTAACCTTATGATCACAAGCATACCAACCCAGTTGTAAAGAAATTATAGCATTTCAATATTGCTGTCTCCACATAGCTTCAGTGTGTCAAGGAGAATCAACTTTCTGTTAACAGAGTGGCCTACAAGCAGGCTCTCAGTATGAGCCTTTATTATCCAACTACACTCCGTAGAGTACAAATAACGCCATAGACAATTACAAATATCATGCGGTATTTGTACTCTAGAGAAACAGTTCGACAGGTCTTCTTGCATAGCGCAAGCAAAGAATTGGATTAAAGTTCCAAAAACAAAATGGCAAACAATTTTAATCATATTTTTGACAGCGAAGAGTGGGAATGGCTGGCAAATATAGATACAAGTCTATTGGATAAATTAAACAAAGAAAAATAACTAGATGACCAATAAATTTCTTCATTTATTGAAGAAAATAGAAATAGCAACATGACAACATGTCAATTCCGTTCCGCTTCGCATACTTCTGTCACGCACTCCTCATAAATAAATAGCCATAAAATTCGCCTGCACTGAAACTGAACAATTTGGCATGTTGGATAATAAATAACTTGTTAGATGTTTTGTTGTGTAGTATTTTAACTTGCCCTATGGGCTTGTCAAAATATGGCACAACTCGTAAAAATACTCAATAATACTACACTACAAAACATCTAATAAGATATATTTCTTTAACAGTATGAGGCTATAAGCAACATATTAAGTCAGCAAGGAATCCAGTCTTGAATTTTTACCACAAGATCCCCCAGCAAACCTCTCCCTCACTTGTAAAAAATTATTCCCATGGGTAGAGAAACGTCCATTCTGCAGCAGTAATAACAAGGGCCTGCACACAGGGTATTGATGACATCAACATCACAACCTTTATTGCCACTTGCTACAGTATCCAGAGCAAATGTTAAGCTTGGCCTGTAACTACACAAAGAATAACAGTCTGCATATTGAAACATAGCAACCATTAATTGCCACTTCTGACAAGATCCTTGTCTCAGACATCAAGATAAAGGAGATTTCAAGGATACAACCGTGGAATAAGTTCTCTCACGGAAGCAATCTTGTAAAACCAGTTCCGACAAGTTTCCTTAGCAGAGTCTGGAACCTGGTCAGGTGTAAAGTTTTCTGAAAAAAGTAAAACAAAAAATTAAAAGCTAGTACAACTGGCTGCATTAATTACTACATCTAGGGCTGTCAAAATATAGGACAGAGTTTTGAATAATAGCTGGGGAGGGACATGAACACTCCTTTCTAGAAGACTCTGAGAGTGAACTTACTTAACCCCTTAAATCCCAAGATCTGATTAAAAATTCTCCCCTCTAGTTCCTACACATTTCCTTGTAAAGCAGTCATGAGAATTTGGTGCTAGATCAAGATAACAACTTTGAATATTCTAACTAGATCTACATATTCTCATGACCTGTTTGCTGGATAATGTATGGGTATTGTAAGGAGAAGTTACACGTTCATCACTTCTGGAAATTAAAGGGTAAAAGATCACTATTTTGTCTCTGAGCAGATACTTGCCATATAAGAAAATAAGCTTAATGTTCCACTACCGCGCACTAATTATTACAGAAAAAGCTTTAGCTACAATGGCGCCACATTATGGAACAGTTTACCACGTGATATAAGGAACACAGAGTCTCTGGGGTTATTTAAACGTAAGATCAATGACATTCTTTAAGTCTAACGCACGGCATTCACGGAAAACAGCTTTAGTGTTATAGTATGTAGTTTTAATTTTAAATATCTTAGCGTATGTGATATGTATTTTTATAGGCTGATGAATTGATCGTGCCTAAATAAAGATTACAATACAATACAATAGGGATCCATGTTCTTTACAAACTAAACATGTTTGTGTCACATTAACACTGGAAATAGCTATAGAATGTCATCAAGAGAAGAGGACTAAGAAATTTTTGCAAGCTCAACTTGGCTAGCTAGATATTGTACACGAAAAACTCTTCAGGAGTCAAAGTGATAATTTGGAGAAACAAGGTTGCAGATCGTGCATAAGACAGATTACTGGTATCAGCTAGATAAAAATGGTTTCCTCTGCTTAAAAATTCTTACCTGGAAGCATAGTGGGAATATTGCTGCCGGGTGTAAAGGTGCTTGATTTGCGGAAAATTCTCTCATACACAAGCTTCCCTGTAGAAGAAACATTGATATTTTTAACTTTTGTCAGAGAATTTGGCATACCTTAATACTTAGTTCAGACAACGTATACCTTGACTCTTTGGACATACCAGATGACTATATGTACTTGTATGTCAGGAAAAGATTATAATTTCAAAACTTATTTCCCTCAGAACTTTGATCTAACTTACCAAATGTGTCCAGTATGTCAGTCACAAGCACAAACTTGCTTGGGTAGAACTGAATTACAGACACATCAGCAAGAAGCTTTGCACACTAAAAGAATAACATCATTTAGACATGTACTCAAGTGATCATACACCAGGAGTATAATAAAAACAATTAAATATGCCCCTGGCTCAAGTGCTTCGGGGGTAGAAAGAGAGTACAACTCTGGTGAATTTTTTATCCTATGCTCATTACAAATGAATTGAACATCTTTCTCCATTTAATGACACAGCTCAAAATATCTACTGAGATGAATGTTTCTCACTCCAGGTCCACTCAGTGTGCTTTCAACATCAACAATTTTCATCAACCTTTTTCTTTTTAAAAAGCTGCTTTGTTGATTGGTGTTTGGTACAGTTTCATTGGCCTGTACAAACCTGAATAGCAATCTTGAGAGCTTTCACTCTCTGATCTGATTCCCAAGCTGTGATTAAGGCCTATTAAGAAAATTAAGAAACAAAAAATGAGTATTGCAGAGGAATATTCCTGAAGAGTAGCCTACATTATCATTCCTCAGATTTAAATAATGAATAGGTGGGGTAAGGGAAGATAGAAAACAGCAATACAATTTAGGATGTTAAAATGATTGAGAATATTCATTGCAGTGAATACACTAGTAATTAAGTGATCTTGCGAGTCTCACAAAATTTTTTCCTCAGTGTGGATCATGACATTTCCACAGTAAACTGCAAATCCTTCGAGGGTGCCTGGTTACGTGTCTCATAGTGAAGCATTATGCTCCACTATGTTTCACTGATTTTTATCAACCCTATGACTCAACCTGCATTGTGATCACTTGAATGAGGGTTGCCATGAAAGGGATTGAAGTCAGTGACAGTGCTTCAGCAACCCAAGTGGAGGCATCATCCAAGTCAGTGACAGTGCTTCAGCAACCTGAGTGGAGGCATCATCCAAGTCAAGAGTCTGTGATCTCTGATGATAGCTAAAGTTTCAGGTGTCCCAGGATTGTAGCTAAGTGCTGGCCACTGGAGAAATTTGCTGAATGAAAAAGTGGAGATTGCAGGCTGGATTTTTGGCCAGTGATCACTTGGTAGAGCACAATGGGCACTTCAGGGGCTACACAATCAACCACCATCTTTGAGCCTTCTCACTTGAAATTTCAGAGGGTAGCATAATTTCTTAGCTACAAGCTTGGTGTCCAAATATTACTTTCTACTATCCATAACAATCCTTCCCAGGACAACAATGTAATAATAAAGTAGGCACATCACCTGGTTTAATTCTTCGATTCTCTTAACGTAATCCTGTTGACTCAGATTCAGCATTTCCTTGATTGAGCCCTACAAAATATAGCAGAGTTCACTTTCACATTTTACATACAAGTTGCAAAGAAAGGGAAATAAAACCAGTCAGAGTCCTTAAGATTCACAATAAACAACATCAGTGGAATGAATATAGGACGAAATAGGAAAAGATAATGCACTCTCTTATAATTTATAAAAACCTCTCCTATCCAATATTTATTTGACAACTCAAATATTTAATGATACATAACTTTTCTTTCCAAACTCATTCCTAACTACAAATGCTGTGTTTTAATAAATAAATTCCAATTTAATCTTCTTCCTTACATCTTCAAAGTCATCTAATTGTTCTAGTCTGTGCTTGACTTTATCTGCGACCGTTGTTTGCTGCTTGATAACCACTGAAACATATTAATAACAAAAATTTTCTCACTTTTTATTGAATTTGCAAAATAATTAAAGTTTCACTTATAAAAATTTAATAAATTTCAAACTCCAAATGTTCTGATTGGTTCAATCAGCTGTGGCCATCAGCTCATAGGGAAAAAGATTTACCCATGTGTTGCTAAGTTGCGCACACATAGAAAAATAGTTATATATTATTGAAAATCTTCATTAAACATCAGTACCCATAGTTAGCATTATTGAAATAGTACTCCAAGAAGGATACTTATTTGAACAACTCACTTTTTTCAGATTTTTCAGATGATGACAAGAAACTCTGTTCAAAAAAATTAATAAGTAAATATTAGCAGTTAATACAAATAGTATGATCTACAAAATTAAACAACAGTGAAAATAACTGAATCCCTTAACTTTGAACTGCAACATGTATTCAGCCTACAGGTGTTACGAAAATGAAGACCCTCCAAAACGAAGACTTAAGACCTAAGACCCAGTCTTCATTTTCATAGTAAGAAAACGCAGACCTTGTAAACAGAAAACTGTAGAAAGTACAAGTTAAACACACATTAAACAGCAACAACGCTTAGTAATATAATACACAACACTTCATGCGTTTCTTCCCATTATTATACTGCCAGTACTACTGGCCCACCTTGTCTGTTCTGTTTCGCTCTGCCAGCCAATTTGGTGTTGATATTCTCGAGGGTTTCCTCAGGTAAACTTACCACACATATTATTCTGGAACAGCAGGCAGAATTCGAATGCTAGCCGCCTTTGATTTATAGTTAGCATTGCGTGACAGAATAACAAAGAATGCATTCTGTACAGGTAATGACTCTTGGGTTCTGTCAATAAATAATCTATGTCTACTGTGTTTTGTAGCTAAAATAGATTCTGACGTTCATTAAGCCTTCTCTGCTGGAAAATTCTCACTAATTGGCTTGCATAGCAAAACAGAACAGACAAGACGGGCCAGTAGTACTGGCAGTATAATAATGGGAAAAAACGCGTGAAGTGTAATGTATTATATTACTAAGCATTGTTGCTGTTTAATGTGCGTTTAACTTGTAATTTCTAGGGTTTTCTGTTTACAGGGTTTTCGTTTTCGTAGTAAGAAAACAAAGTCCGGGTCTTGGGTCTTAGGTCTTAGGTCTTCGTTTTGGAGGGTCTTCATTTTTGTAACACCCTTCAGCCTACTGCCTACCGTGGTAATGGACAGTTTTTGAGAGGTTGTATATTTAGCAAGGATCCCTAATCTCTTGTTGAGCCATGGTTCAAAGCTACTTTTGCTTGTGTCTTCATTAGATATAGATGATGACTGAGGATAGAACAAAGGAATGAAACTGTTAGTTCATCACCTCACCAATCTAATGTCTTCTCTTTCTATGGTAAGTAGAATAAAAATTTGATGGTACAAATTTATTGCAATAAGACAGTAAAACACAATAATTAGCACAAACCTGTTCTTTCTTTGACCCTGGTGTAGAACTGGGTGTGGTTTTCTTTGTACTGGCTTCCTGAGCAGCGAACATTGACAATGGATCCAGCCCATCAAACGTATCAGGTTTTGCTTGGATGAAGCTCAAAGGATCAGCAGCAGGAGCACTTTTAGATGAACTATCAGAAGAAGCACTTGATTTTTTGCGAGTGTTATCAACGTTCTGCAACAAACATTTTCAAGTTTTCATAAAGCACATACTTAAAAAAATACATCAAAACAAAAGTTATTGGATTGGTTGACTGAGAAGTCTACGCAGTTTATACAGGTTTCAGTCACATATTATGTAAAATTACTAAGTAACTAGTACTGCATAGCAGCTGAACAGTCAATTACTTGATTTCTGCTAATACAAGAGTAAAGAATGACAAAGAGTTGATTTCTCTGATAATGAATTTCACCATGGGTATGGAGAACTGAGGAGATCAGCTCTGGCAAATTCAGTGTTTTCCTTATCTTCAATTTCTCCTACTTACAATAACAGAACCTAGTTTCAGTGGGTGATCGTGTGCTGCCTCACTCGGAAGCACGTTTTTCTCCTTTTCATATCTCCTGGTGCGGGCAACCCTGCGGAAAGGAGGGCAAGATTGTTAACTGGGTATTACAAACCTAACCGTATGAGGTCTATTTTTGCAACAGTATGGTACAAAAATCACAATTATCTAAAGGCAAAAAAATATTCATTACTCATGAATGAAAAATAAATGGATTCAAGTAGGTCTAAAGAAAGAAAACAGTTAAAAAAAGGTTGAAATTGTCCAAAAGCGAATGATTTCTCCGTGATATCACCTACCACTCGTAGGCCGCCATATTGTTTTCGCTTGGACACCGCTCCTTCTCGGGCGGTGTCTAAGATTTCTAAGATTACCACAGGTCGCCCAAGCACTCTTTGAGAACCACACAAGGAACACAATTTGCATATCGATTTATAAGGATTTGTATGGGATTTTCTACAAGATAGCCATAGAGATGGTTAAAAGTGAAAATATTAAAAAAAAAAAAATGGCTTACCTTATTCCATACGTGTGTTGCTTGCTCCTGGTGTCGTTATTTTACTGATTTCACTTGATTTAAGCGGTTTTTTTTAATCCTATCTCGTAGAAAATCCCATACAAATCCTTATAAATCGATGTGCAAATTGTGTTCCTTGTGTGGTTCTCAAAGAGAGCTTGGCCGCCGGTGGGATGACGCAAAAGGGCATAACGCCATCTTCTCTGGACCGTGTTTGAAACGGATGTATAATGAGCTATGACTTGGGCACGCTAATATCTATAAGCAAGAATCGTCATTCTAGTCGAGCGTGCTATGTGCGATTGGAGATATCATAACCTTTTTGAAACGTTATGAGCTTTTTGCAGGATAGTGAAATGAAGGTCTGCAAGGAGTACAGAGACATCTCTCAGACTTTCACTTGGCTTTTTTTGACAGAGGACAGCATGAACTAATTGAGCTTGGACTTCTAATTTTCGAGGGTTTCTTACCTGTAGCTATCTACAGAACTGAAGAAAATTATCAAAAGAATAATGAAGAAGTTCAGGAGTTAAAAATCTAAACTGTTGCCTGGGTTGTTGTTGCTTTTTGTTTTTTAATCAGGTAACGCGGCTATTCCCAGTCTTTGGTTTAATAAACTGAGTTGATAGTGTAAATTGGCCACCGTAAAGAGTTTCAAAGCTGACGTTTCAAGCGGTATTCAGGAGAAACAGGGAGGTGATCATTCGCTCTGAAGAAGGGCTAACACTCGAAGCGTCAGCTTTGAAACTCTTTAAGGTGGCCAATTTACATTATCAACTAGGTTGATAAAACCATATTTCCTTGTTACCCCCACCGACGCAGTATCACAGTCTTTATTTGAAAGTTACCCTCCTTTATTCCCAGTCTTAATCTCACTTTTTTAGGCCACACACTCTACGTAGGAAATAACTATTCAGTGAGTTTTCAGTGAGTTATCAAATACTCAGGCAAAGTGACAATGTACAAGTGATTACAAGTGCTGCTTTACCCATTTCTTCTTCTTTTCAGTGTTCCAATCAGCTAGCCACAATCATTACTTTTTGTTTGTTTATTTATTCACAATAATTACGTTACATATATTCATCTCGCATACAAGAACTCTTTGGTAAAATTTATTCAAAACGTAGGTTCTTAACTGATCTCCGACACTGTTCAAAACTTACATTTTTAATGATTTATAACCTAAGACTGCTTTTTACGCAAGATGACTTTTTGCATTGGGTACTCTTCTGGTTAAATAAACATAGATGAATATATTGAGGCCTCATTCGTGATCATTTATTCTGGCATTTCCTTGTCGTTGAAGTTTTCGTCTCCTATGCTGTCGTCTTCCACCCATGACCACAACATATCATTCAAATTGTCTAAAACACGAAGGCAATATGAAGATTAATGGTTTTTGCAATGATTCAGATACTCACCACTAACTGATTGAGATTCAACGATTATTGAAGTATTTGAACAAAACAGTTTTTCCTTAGTGACCAGTCATTCTTTTTAGCCGGGGGGAGGGCAAAGTGGGAACGATTTTGGGGGGATCACATAGTCTGACTGCCATTGAGAGGGAATCATAAGAATTCAATAGAGCCTTCTGGGATCAGCTAAATTTTCATTGCGACACAAGCAAAGTCCTCCAACTCCACCCGTTGCCTTTTCACGCACTTATGTCAAGCCTGGGGAAGTCTCTTTTAGCTTTACATCCACGTATAGGTGTTTACTGTGTCCCATTCTGCCCGCCCTACTCCCGTCCTCCCCCCCCCTACCAGTCGGTGGCAAAGTGGACACCTGGTATGTCACGTGGTATTTGAAAGACTCATTTGACCCCAGTCATTTTGTTTAACTTCTGTTAGATTTAATTTAATTTTCTTGTTCAATTTAACTGCAAATTGTTCTGTAAACAAGGTAAATTAAGAGGCACCAATACACGGTTGACTAATGGATGCTTGAGTTCGTACACAATTTACCTTTGAGATCACGCGTGTTTGCTGAACGAGCTTTCCAAAGCGAGGATCGTTTCTTGTGTGCAAGTGCCCCTCGTTTTCCGCCTGTACGAAGGAAGTAAGCCCTTGTAGAGATGACAAATGTGACCAAGAGGATAAATGCAACCAGTCGATGATTCATAGTACTCCTACCAAAATCAAACAAGGTGGAGGGAATTTCAATTGCGTGGAAAGTAGTAAACATGATTTCTTTAATGTAATCAGGAAAATGACAAAAGCGACTCAGTACTGACATATTTATATTAAAGTCTACGAAAATGCACCATTACAACCAGTGAAGATCAATCAACCGGTGATGTGATTGAAACACTGTTTACATTCGCTAAAGAATATAACTTATTTGAGACAGTTTTTTATATCTTTTAGTCCGATGCAATTAAAAGGGATTATTTATTTTGTACCGTGTGTGTCCATTGTCAGTCGTGTATGCTCATGTATGGGTTTCAGAGTGCCTGTTTGCCTGTTACGACTTGGAGGGGCAGGAAAGCACAAAAGCTTTTACGCAGGATTATGGCCGATATTCGGATATCTGAGTTAACTTCTACAGTCATGATGGCCCAAGCCATAAAAATTTCCCAATAAGATTATCCATATATAGAATTGATAAATTCCAGCCCAAGAAGTGAAAATGAAAGTTTACACATATAACGACTAAACAAAGCAATGGTCGTTTTTGTAACCGAGAAAAGCATATTTTACTATGCTTGCTTTCAGTGCAAAATGTTTCGGAACTTTGACTGAAAGAGGGGTGATTAAGTTTTTAATTCAACGCCGTTTTAACTTTAGATACTGATTGTCCTCACGCGCACACGGAGAAATTAAGAAATTGAAGTGCTTTTAACCACAAAGTGACAAGAAGATTTGTTCCCCGAAAGAGCTGGTATAGCGTGCAGGGAACCTGCTAAGAGAATGAAACTAAACCTTGCCCCCAGTAACGGATATCAGAAAAGATGCTAACATTCCCCTTGTAAATTTTGTGTTCTTAAGTTGGATGATGAGTTCTCAAGATCTTAGCTGGGGCTTTTGTTAACAATAGTCCTAACACGAAGTTATTCAAGTTTCTTCTGAGAGCAACCAGCAAGTTAAGCACATAAGTAGTTTGTAGCTTGTAAAATCGGAATGAATTTACCAAAACTAGTACTCAAATACTATAAACTCAAATAAGATTTTTACCTTAGTTTAGGGCTGTGCCGGTTTATGATTTTACTAGCCAGTCTTCAAAAGCTTATTCGAGGCAAAATGAGGCTACACCACGCTTTTCTTAACTAGTAAACATTGATGCAGCTGCTTCACTTTAAAAGCAAACTAAATTGTTTTATCTTTCCTGTCTCTTCTATTCCAAGAGGAAATTAAGTTGTTTGCATAAACAGGAGTTTTAACTGTATTGTAAACAGCGAAATTAGTTGTGCCGGAAGGGAAACTAAACCATTAGAGAGAATTTGAAATGAAGACTCATTTCCTCAACTATCGATAATGCTGTTTGCGAATTGACAAATACACAACGAATTCTCACTGCAAATTGAAAATTCAGTTTATTATCGCGCTTACAACTGAGAAAAGTCCGCTTTGAAAAAATTGCATGGGTGTGACACGCATTTCCAAGCCATGTATTCTCAAAACGTGGTAGAAAAAAGTTGAAGCAACACAAGTCAAGCTTTTGTCCTTTTCCTGGTTCGGAATGGATGAAAGAATTATTCAGTTTGTTTCGTTGGTTTGACATAATTTTACATATATGCAAATATGCTTAATTGATGTGTTGAATCATCTTTGATGTTACCTCTTAGACACATTGGTGTTACCTTGGACATAAGCTAATAAAGATCAAAGAAAAACTGCCCGTCATCTTTGTTAACTATTGATACAACGTAATGGTGGTTCTGTCCTGGTGTACCGGTTCACAAGGGAATTACCATTGTTCTTTCTTTGTTTAGGAGTTATCGGTTAGCTATTGTGTATTGTTTGGTCTTTTGCATTGGCTCTTGTGAACCGGTACATGAGGACAGAACCGTAATGGTAGATTCGAGCAGAAGACGATCAAAATATGAGGTGGTTTAGTTGAAGATGACATCATACTTCCAATATGGCACTTGTTTTAGCGATTAAAGATTATATTGTAGTGGCGCAAATCGTAATTGATCAAAATATGGACTTTTAAGGTGCTTAAGCCTAGTCTACACGAGCAATTTTTATATGACAATTTTAAGTGGCCATTTTTATTTGCCCGTGTAGATGATGAAAAGTGACCAATTTTTATGTGACAACTGCATTTGCTGAATAGTTGGCGTGTTAGTTTTTATGTGGCAAATAAAAATTGCCACATAAAAATATTGTCCGTGTAGACGAGACGCCACATAAAATGTGACAAACGCGCCTAAAGCTGCAACACGTCTGGCATGTCTTCTGACTTTCGCTATCTTGCTTTTTTCCTTTCCATGAGCATCTCCGCTGTGCGAAATTATTACTGACGCAAATTAACAAGAAATATTTGTCGAGCCATCCACACGGGCAAATAAAAATTGCCACAAACTGTTGCCACATAAGAATTCCTCGTGTAGAGGTAAAGTCTCACGTACCCGGCCAGAGGCTATCAACCTGTGAGTCCAGTTTTTCCGTTTACCCATCCACTGACTAAAATTATTGGGAATCCGCCAAACGGTTGCAAATTTTCGTAATTCGATCATTTTGTTTTTTCTAAAGGACCTCTTTGATCAACTTTTTTCAAAAGTTATTTCAAAGAGTTCTATCGTACTTTGCTTTCTCCGAAAAATCGAAAAGTTCAACATATCATGGCGGCCGGCGGATGTCCTCCCCCGTAAAACAATGAAAAATTATGCAACTTCAGCAACTTCGTGGGCCACAACGCGAAGCAAACAACTTTTGAATTTTGTATGCTGGCAGATAATCCTTTTATCTTTTTTAAATTATGAATTTCTTGTTATGTTGTCACGATTAAGTCTGCATGGTGACCTTTCGCCTATTGTACTTTGTGTCTTTTTCTCAGGGATAAGAATTAATCTAAAAGGATAAGGCTTTAAGATGATGTGTATTATGACTTATGAATATATATGGCATTCCTTTTTATAGGCCATTAAAGTTGAACTTTATTTTACTTCTGCGAAAAAGACACAAAGAACAATATTTCAGCGGGTTACTATGCAGACTTAACCGCCTCATTTTCCCATGTTGTTGGTGTAAAATTGATAAAATGTCGCATGGCAATTCACTCATATAACCATAACGGAATCATGCTCGCCGGAATACTTGAACGGAGGATGGAAATTCAGAGCCTTTTAGTTTTATAGTGATAACATTTAATTGATCTTCCATGAGGCTTTGTAATATCCCCATGATCCCCATCCCCCCTTCATTGGCAGTCAACTGTCAGTCAATTTTCTATTGTTCATCCTTTGTACTATGTTGGTGACGACAGCATGATCCCCCTCCCCTCGCTAGCCCCGAAAACCAAGTGATCCCCACCACAAACCCCCTCACCCCCCTTGCCCCAGGCGCGCAATAGATAATGACAGGTTCGTTTGTCACAAGTGAAAAGGCAATTTATATCTTTGAAAGGAACGAACCAATAACCTCTCTGAATCAACAGTCAGATTCTGTCTTCATTTTCGTATTTGCTTCTATTTATCTATTCATTTATTTGCTCATTATTCATATATTCTTGTTTCATCCATTCAGCTAGCTCTCATGATTTAATCATTCATTCATCTCGCCCATTAATTTTTCGATTTTTCCCTCTATTTCATAATCGCTTGCATCATCAGTTTCTTTTGTAAAACGCAAAAAAGGAAGAGTAAAAAAAAAAGGGGGAGAAGAAGGGCAGGTTGTAATGTACACTTCTTGTTGTTCGACCCCAACAGCAGGAGAACAGATGCAAGCGACGGATCTATGGTAAACAAATGTCTGACAATGGAATGTCTGGTCGGTTGACGTCATTTTCGACTGTGCTTGGGTGTCAAAAGAACAGAACACTTGATTACACGTTCACTGTTAAAATTGGCACTAAAAATACCCTCTTTGCGGCTTTGTCTAGTCGCAGATTATTTCGAAATACGTTTCAGAAGCCTGCAATTACCATCAATAATTTGATACCGTATTTACATTGTCATGCTAAAACTTGTAATCGATTTATAGCCAATTAAACGCAACGTCTGAGATTTGCTTCTGGATTCTCCTTCAAACTTGCCCTAGCTAGATATCAGAATGCAAAAATATTTAACAAGAATTAAAAGTGAATATCACAGTTTTAAAATGTATTCAACAACAAAAGACCACCTGTTGACTGGCGTAATTTGCTTGGCTTATCAGCAACATAATCATTTATTATTCCCTTTGTAAACATCCATTCTCAAGTGACATGACGGTGATGCCTCAATGTTATTAAAATCGAGCGCTCGCCGGTCACTGTTATTATTCCTCTAGTTGGTAATGAGAGTCACTGCGAGTGTGGTTTGTGGACGTGAACCCCTTTAAAACTACGGCTGCCCACATATTGAAACATCCGAGATCCGTCACTGGGGAATTGACGGAGCGCAATCGACGGAAAATTTGAAAGGTTCTCAAAATAGAATCAGAGCTGTGACCCTGCATCACGCCATCTCGTCACTCATTTGATGCAATCGAGGCTGCTGATGACTTACTGAGAGCTAACCTAGCAAAGAAAATCCATTGGAAACACTGTAAATTGACGCAATCGCAAGCATAGTGCATAATGCAGAGGTAAGTTTCCGAAACTGTTGTGATTGCGTTGGGTTTTTTTTATGATAAGATTAATGCGCTTCGTTTGCCTTTTCTTGAGACCATACGCGATAAGGAATTCACTTTCGATCATTGACAGAAATGAAAGATGTTTGAGACTCGAAACATTGTAACTATTTTTTTTTTCGATCGCTTGAACAATTTATAGGTAATTCTGCCTTCTTTTGTGCCTTCGTTTCGACAGGACACAAAGCGCACGACGTGAAATCTCATGTGCGGCGCAAATGTCATCATGTTTTCTGCAAAATTCATGAACCGGCCATTTTCGCCAGACTGTTTCATTACACGCAACGAAACCCACACACTCGATCGAGAATTTCTCAGGGCTTAGAAGAAAATCGTATTTATGTAATCTAAGAATAATTAAATTCTTTCCGGAGAAGGGGTTGATTTTGTTTTCATCTTCTCTTACTAATCCATCTACCGTGACACGGCGACTGAATTTTCCCACGGCAATATTAGACTAATCAACTGACATTTACAATAAATTCCTAGCAAGCTTTGCTATGAACCCGCAAATTAGCATTTCTTTGTCAAAGTGTTAAATTCACCGTCTTTTCTGGCGTTTCCGGGCCATTTTCGGTTCACGAGTTTGGAGTATCACAACTTTTTATTGTTATAAATTGCAACGCCACAATGAACAACGTGCGACTTTCCCAACATTTAGTGTTTGGTCACATTACAAGGCCAAACACAACACATATCAACAAATTACAGAGTAATTTTTTGGCACCAGAGTGTAAACCTCCAAGACCTACAATTATGTTAAGATGGCGGGCTATCTATGTAGATCACTCACGTATATTGAGTATGTTATCTTCGCACATGGAATAAATTTCAGTCTGGAATATACCACCCTGATTGTTTGATTACATATATTGTCGATTTCCGTCGAAAATGGCTCTTGGAAACAAAGGCAAAATTCTTAATTACATTATCTCATTATAGATTGTTATCACAGTGTTCCACAATAGGCTTTTAGTACTAATAGAGTCGCTTTTCTGTCTTTGTTGTGAAAATTAAACAATAACCTAAAAGATCGGCGGAATATTTCTCGAATTAGCATGGTAACTGGTTTGACTAAACACGTGGTTTACCCTGACCTCGTGTCATGTTTTGAAGATTGATGGAATTCAATTCAAGATTAAACCGCTAATCTGAAATTCAACAGACTCAAGAGATTTTCGAAAAATTCCTAGTGATCCTCCCAAACAAAAAACCAACGCACAACGAAACTACAAAGTTTTGAAAAACTTCGGTGGACTTCTCTTATAGAGCTCAACTAAGCAGGATGCACTTTTTGCTTTGTTTCTTCTCGTTGAGTTTGAGTAGGCACTGATATAACAAACTTCACAAACGCTTTGAGTTTAGTGCATACAAATTGCACTTCACAGCCGCTATATTTAAGCGAGATTCAATTGGCTTTAATTAATCTCCTCTAAAGCCTATGCGGCACGTTTTTGGCCTATCTAAGGTTTTTTTAAGGTAGGTAAATCTTTGTCTCAAAACTAGTTGACAAACTGAAGAATTTCTCTTTACCACATTAGTAGATTATTAACTAGATGGGTAAAGGGAAAAGAGTAAAATATTAGTTAAGTGGTGTTTTCGGGATGGTACTTCAAATTATCTTAAAGAACACACAATGAATTACTTAAAAACCAGATGATTTGAACAGATATGGAGGGTGCGAGGTCAGAGAGGTTTTTCGCTGCCAACAGGCGTTGTCTGCCCTGCCAGGTTTTCGATCGCTCTCGAAAGGTTAAATGGAGCATAAAAAGATGAGGTATTATGAAGATTTTCCTGTAACCATTACAAGATTTGTCTGATTCCACAAGTTATTTACGTGCTTATACACTTCACCGCCGGGAATAAGTTAAATATACTTCGGTTATAATTACCTGAATTGTTGGGAAAATTTGACGAAATGCTGGAAGGACACTTACCCCTGAGTAACGAAGTAGCCTCACGGAGGATTAATGAGACTTTTATTAATTACATTTCATGATAAAACTGATCATCATTTATTTGGTTCCATGCTAAATTATCTTTATCGAGTCTTTGATATATTAAAGTTCACAAAGTCTTTGATACAATGAATATATGAAGTTCATATATTTTGAACTGCGGTATTAGATACGTATGATGCACGATCCTCGCAGTAGAGAGCGCTATTTATGCAATAGCGAAAATCAGACCTGAAAAAAATCAGGCCTGTACTGGATTCGAACCACTGACCTTTAATGTTGTGCAGACTCATCACAGGACCAAGAGCCTTCAACCTAGGTATACGTACTTGTTCAAAGTTGGAGAAAAAAAAAACTTTGTTCGCCCCGGGTGCTCGTTTTTAAGTAACTTTTTAAATGCAATGTGCAAGATAAGGGGGAGTTATTTTAGTCGTCAGCGAGGGGAATTTGTTTCTGTAATCAACCCACACAGCCGGAGGTTCGAACTCGTCAAGTGCCGGGTTTTCCCGGTAACCACTTTTTGGAATAGTGATAGGCTGTAAGCACGATTAGTCTTTAAGGCGTCTCCTGAGTTTCATCTCTTAAGTTTACTGGAATCCCGCCCACGTTATTCGCTTTAAGTGCGGAGACAAGCAGCAGCAAACTGGGTGGGGCGATTTTCTTCCGCCTTCTATAACCTTAAGTCCGGTTCACACTCGAGTGTTTTCGTCTACACAGCTAAAGAAAACGCGGGCCGTTTTTATCTGGAACGAATACATTTGAAAATGCACGTAGAAGTAGAGACATTTGAAGTTGCACCATTTCAGAAACGAGCTGATTCTAATGTGGAAGGGGAAAAAAAAAAAACGGCGACTTAAGCAACACCGAATCGAAAAGCGGCACCTACCATCGCTATCTCCGTCATTTTTGGAAGTGTTAGTGTAAACGATGAAAAGAATGCGCACATTTATCATGACTTAAGAGGCAGTGGATGTCTAGATGAAAATGTTTTGTTTCGTTGAGACGAAAACGAATACTTTTGAATACTTACAGGGAATGGTTGGACCTTGTCGCCGAATATAGTAAAGTGCGTAAAATTGTGGAGGGTCTTGAGAAGGTTGTATCGCAGCTCATTCTGAAAGTGGGTGCAAGTTTAGTTTGTGGAAGCGTCAAGGAGGAAAGAATTTGTTCCAAGAATATATTTGAAACAATTATTTACCGAAGTGGAGGCAAATATCCACCATTTTCTATTACACAGGGGCGAATAACTGTTCTGGTATGCAATCTGAATAACAAGCAGACAGAAAAATATACATATTTTTAATTTAACAATACGGCCACATATGGTTGAAAATCGAAGTGGTGAAAATCTTGCCATGCCCATTCGTGGTGAAAAATTTTGTCGCACCCGTCTCAGTCATCATACTAATATCCTCTAAAGAAATTGGAGTTAAATGGGTAGCCATAGTTTGCGTTTAAGTAGCTCAGAGGTAAGGCATGCTTGACTGGTCGCTTCTGAGTCTGCGATTCAGTGCGTGAAAAGTACCATTTACTTGTGTGAATGTTCTAAATGTATGTATTTAATTTTAAATGAAAGTCTTTCTTTTATCTCCGGATACTTTCTTGTACTAAGACCAGCCCCTTTGCTGGTTCACACTTTTAACCGCCCGTTTCTTATTTTTCGATATAGGCAAAATCTAACGAATGCATCCTTAATTGATACAAGAGAGAAACAAAGGGCTTTTCAAGACGCCGTGAACAGAAAAGACCGTGAGGAAGTTCACCGACTGCTGAGTAACGGTTTACATATTAACGCATTGAACGAAGCCGGCGATACTGCATTACATCAGTGCATACGGGATGGCAGAATTGATTCTGCAAAGCTATTGGTCGAGTTCGGTGCTGACATCAAAAGAACGAACCGCGATGGTTGGTCCCCAGTCCACCTTGCAACCACTCTCGGTCAAAGAGACCTGGTGATGTTCTTGCTAGACAAATAGGTTCTCTTGCATGTAGCTTGGAGCAAGCGGAATTGTTTTCACATGTACACACCCTTAATTTAAATATATTCACGGGAACAATGTGCAGTTCTACATTTTGATTTGTTGGGCTGAACTTTGAACAACGTTGCTAGTGCATGCAACAACAAAGAAAGTGAATTATTCGCCTGGCACTGTGTACAGATGACATTGATACCCATAACAGCTTGTCCCTTGAATGCCAACGACACTGTAATAAAGTTTATAATATTCTGATTGTATTATCACCAAAATATATTATCACTGTAATAAATCCTTTTAAATGAGCACTGTTCCATTGTGCAGTTAACCCTTTGCAACCTAACATCAGCATGAATAAAGAGGTAAGTTTCTACAGAAACTGTGCTGCTGCGTCAGTAGGAGTAATAAGGTAATTTGGTTATATCAACTAAGTTGAAATTGTAAATTGGCAACCATAAAGAGGTAAAAAGCTGACGTTTCGAGCGTTAGCCCTTCATCAGAACATCAGTATGCATATTCTCCATACTGTTCTCTAAACATTTCCTAATGTACACAGAACAGTGCAAGTCCCACATTTCCTCTCATATTTATCAGTAAAACAAACCTGTAAATTGGGTACCGGAAGTCAAATAGTAAGCACACACAGACAACAAAATTGAACTCATTTCTGTTTTTTTGAGGGCAGCAAATTACAAAATTTGAATTTAATTTTTACCTATATATCCAAATGATTGTTTTTTGTTTTAAAAAAAAAAACCTTTTTGATCGCTCACTTTGACACATTTGTATTTAACAATAACTAACTGAACAACAAAATTGCATAATTTGCTAAACCTTCATTAAGCTGACACTAACAAGAGTTCTGTGGTTGTATTTGCCTCTGATAGCAAAAAACATGACAGACTGACACTAACTTCCTACAGTGAAATTCTACCAACACTTCAAGTTTGAAAATTTCAGTTCAATGTGCTATTTCATGCAAAGTCAAACACACTGAGAATTGTGAATAAATAATGAACTTGTTCAATTACTTTGTTAGAAGTCCAGGAATTCTCATCATCCATTTCCTTGCATCACCATGAACAAGATCTGGGCCATTCTGCTTCACAATACTGCAGGCAAGTGCAATATCAGCCAAGGTCATTTTCCCACCAAGAATCCACTGTTTTGCAAGCTTTAATTCAAGACTTTTCAAGGCAGCAGTTCGCTCTTTGCTGCTTGCAAGTGATTTGTCAATCCAGTAATCCACACATGCAGACTCTTCAGGTGTTAGATTACCATACAAGTCTGGGAGAAATGTGCGGCAGAAGAAGCGAGCAATGGTTATTTCACCAGTCATTGGATTGTGGGCAGATGGAGAAACTACTAGCGAAGGAAGATCTCCCTCTGGAAAGAATAAAAAATAGAGAATCTAAAGTAATATGCCATAGTATTCACTAAATGAACTTTGGATAACATTCAATCTCATTAACTGGCAAAGACTTAATTTAGTACTATGCCTGTCACAATCCATAGGGACTTGGAATCTTGACAAAAAAGATTAAACCTTTCTTATTGAACTTTTACAGCATGAATAAACATTTGAAACATGTTAATAATATCAGAAAAAAAATTAGCACATTTTAACCTTTTTCCAAAATAACATAGCCAGAGAATCTTGTCTTTCATCGAGAGGTGGCAAGAAAGGTAAGATAAATATTTACCTTCTTTCCAAACAAGAGTTAAAATGACTGGGGCACGCCCAACTTCTTTATTACATTTAGAGAAGTTCTGGAATTGTGTTCTGACAGAATCAGGGATTGGCTCTTTAACTGATGAGTGGCTGAACATTGCTGTTGTATGGGCAAGTCCTCTTTGCTTCATAATATGCTGTAGAATGCTTATAATAAGAGGAGGGTCATTTGGTGAAGTGAATATCACAAAATCACATGTTGTTGGAGAAACCTGTGTGTTAATAAACAACCATTATTGCTTTGTCAATCAATTAATCAATCAATCTGATTAGCTGCTCATATATAACTGCTGTAACGTTATGGTCAATCAGTCAGTTGTCTGGCTTGGTCTGTCAATTTACCAAGTAAAGAGTCAGCCAGTCAATAAATCATGTAATTAGATACTACCATTCATACCTATCTTGAAAAAATGAATTAAATTTAAAAATCATGATTTGTTACAAATTGAGGAGGCTTGTAATATGTTACAGCCAGGACATTTAATTTTTAATTTTTATTTTTCGGACCCAGTGGCTAGCGAAAAAAAATTAAGACGTTAAAAATCGTCATCCCTGCGAGATCTACGATAGCCCCCCCTTTCACTGGCCTCATAATGGCTGGAGATCGTCATGTAATCTCCTGCAAGGATTTAAATCATTTAGCCTAAAAAGTTTAGTTAGCGTTCAATTACTTTCTGCTTACTTTCACTTTTGGACGCGGAAGAGGAACCCCGAGCCGCTTTGCCACTTCTTCAACGGAAGTTTTTAGGCCGTTCAGTTCACGAAGAATATCCTCTTGCTTTCTTTCGAGACTCTGTAAACTCGATGATGACAGCTGTACCTTGTGACCCAAGAATTAAATCTTGAATGAGTGATTGCTACCTACGGTATGTTATAAAGCTTAACAGCTTGAACACGTGTTACAATAAATTGAGTTTTATAGATGCAAAACCATTCAGTTCAACGATTTACCTCAATGTTCGTGTTTGTCTGATAGTAGCTGGGCAAGCCATACATACAACTTGGCAGTGGGACGGCCGTACCTCCGTAATATGTCGGATGACGATACATAGAGATATCAGAACCAGCAGCCGCCATTTTGAAAGGAGAGTTTGTTTAATTGTTGCAAGGCATTATGGGAACGATTTCGATAAAACATCGATGACAGAGACCTGGTTAAATTTCTTATTTTCTCGAAATTTAAACTGGTTTAATTCGTAACAACTAATATTTACTTAAAAGGTATAAACTTTCGAATTTAAACCAGAATTAAGTTATAATCCCTCACCGATATACTTCGAGAAATTTTTTAATCATGCATGATGCATTTTGGGTGGGTCACGTGACCAAGCAAGAGTTCTTTCCCCGCGAAGTAAAAATGTGGTTAGATGAAAATGAAGTAACAAAAAAGAGTGGAATATACCGGTAAACGCGAACAGGAGAGGGCTTAATGCAGTTCATTTTACGTGCTTTAGCTGGGAGCAGTAGATTTAATCGAGAAAATGAAGAGAGGAAGGGGACGCCCGCCTAAAAATCAGGCTCAAAGCTCAAAATCGCCAAATCTCTCGAGTGCAAGCAGCCAACATGGCGGACAGCGCAGTCCGCGTGTCTCTTCTTCTATGGCCATTAAAACTCGAGGTTATAGCGGAACAACACCACGTAAATACTACGGGATGGAATCTTCAGATTCTGATAGCGACAATGAATCTATTTCTAGTCATGGATCTTCCATTTCAAACACTACTAGCCCTAAAACTCGTTATGTCGAGCCCTTGAGAGTGGTAACTCCTCTCACTTTACCACTATCATCTGACGATCTTTTGATCGAGCCAGAGTCTATTTTGCAAGCGCTAGGGATTTACGAGATTTTAAGACATTTTAGTCGTATTATACGACTCTCCCCCTTCAGGTTTGAAGACTTTTGCGGGGCAATCCAAACTCCAGAACAATCTTCGTTACTTGCACAAATTCACATCGCTCTACTACGTTTTCTGTTGTCTGAGGATGATGCGAGCGGGTTGACATTCGTGGCAACCGACGAAAAAGACAGCTTCAACATTCTCTCCTACTACCTGGGTGGCTTTACTTGGCCTGAACTTATTAAAAGCTACATCTCGTCGGATAAGAGCGAATTTGGAGACATATTTACGGCTGTAAATGGACATGACGAGAATCCGTTCCCGTTTACAACAGTCGAGAATAGATTGAAGGTTCTCCAGCGACTTTGCGATCAATTCTTGGCCTCCAATTCAGTCAGATAGGACATAATGAATGAAGGAATAGTGGAATCGGAGGATCATTGTCGCAATTGCTGCAAAATGGGCGATTTACTGTGTTGTGAAAGCTGTCCTGCAGTTTACCATCTTCATTGCTTGAAGCCGCCGTTGGAAGTGGTTCCTGAAGGCGATTGGCTGTGTCCCGTATGCGAGGCTCACCAACTTAAAGGTGTCACGGACTGTCTACCTGATTGGAACAGAGAAGGATGGCTAAGAAACGCCCCTTTAGGGGTAGACAGGGAAGGAAGAAAGTACTGGTTCTTGGCCAGACGTTTGTTCGTGTAAGTGTTTACTTCCAAGATGGTTGATATGATATATTGTTCATCTGAATGATTCCAGTTATCTTTACCCTTGGTAGACCACCTTTATAGGGCAAATTACTGACTTAGGTCACATTTACACTTTTTATATCAGCTTTTAACGTGACAAAGTACGTTTGAACTTCATGTTTTTGTTCTTTGTTCTCTTTTTGTAAGCCTTTTTTTTTTTCGACATCAAAATTGATTTTATTAGTTAGGGCCACCACCATTGGGTCACTTATGGAGGTCAAATAATGAGTTGAATATTAATGAATTATACTCTATTTTTTATTTTGAATTTTTTTATTTTCCTGCGCCATTATTGTTCCAAGTACGCTTTTATGTCAAGGTCTAGGATTGTAGTAGGCTTATTGAAGTGTTTTATATTGGCATGTCTTAAGGGTGGGCCTGGGAGGGGGGTGAGGTTGTCTCACAGGTTTGTAATTAAATGGCATGAATTAACTTTCCTTGTGGTTCACTTTTAGTTATTATTAATATTAATATTGATACCATACTCCTAACTTTAATGGAACTTAAAAGGTAGCACCCTGACTTTTTCAGTTTATCTTAATTTTTATTTAAATGTAATAAAATATTTTTCATAAGATTTAGAAACTAACCCTTTTTGTTGTGAATCTTTGTTGTGCAACTTATTAATAAGATTACAGTGGCATGGTTGTGAAATATTTTATGGTCTACAATTGATGAAATTGAGGTTAATTACTTCAAATACTTGGTTGCTAGTGAGTTATCTTTTTTCATTGGCTACTCCCTCTTGTGTAGAAGGTTGTGTGGAATATAGTTATTCTGATGTGACCACTATTTGACCCTTTACATCCTTAGATCAGTATGTATATTCTCCTTATTGTTCTGTATACATTTCCTAAGGTAGTGACAAAGAGAATTTGATTAAGAATCGAGAGCTTTTTTAAATGGTCGTCATTTCTTTTATTCTTGTAGCCTGAATGTGTGATTCAGTGAGTAAGGTGTGTTAGTATAATTTCAGAGCTGAGCAAAGAGTTTCCAGCAATCTGATTGGTTGAGTGGTTTTTTATGTGAGGCTATATAAACCGCTCCATGTGGTTTATATAAAATGTTAAAATAAAGTGTTAATGAATGTTACTAAAATATTATGATTTTTGAAATTTCTCTGTTGTTCAGCTCTGAAATTACACTAAAACAATTAATCACCTCAGGTTCGGTGAGTATTGTTGAATAGTCCCCTTGACTTCGTCTCGGGGATCATTGGACAATATTCACCTTGCCTTCTGTGAATAATTGTTAAATATTGTAAGGAGAAATGAGATGCTAGTTACTCTAAGGGGTCAAAGCATTAACAAAAATTCTTCTTTCTCTGTTCTTAACAGAGAAGGTTGTGACGAGACACTCTACTACAGCTGCAAAGCTCACCTGGATGAACTGTTGAGCTTTCTGGAAGAGGATGGAAAGGAGAAAAGGCTGATTTCTGTTCTTAGGATCAAGTACAAAACCATGGTGAAACACATGGAAATGACAGAAGCTCTTACAGAGGCTTCAAGAGGTAGAGTTATAAAAAATATTAAAGTAAAAAACCCATGTCAGTGAGTAAGAACACTGTGATGAGCTCTTGGCTTCCTTTGTGAACCCAAATACTGGTTCTTGTGATTTGAAGTTCAGCTTTGCCTCTTTTTTTGTAAGTTTTCAAACAGAGAGATGAGGCAAGGTCTGGTGAATACTGAACAGGCAGGAAAGACAAAATTAGTCTTGATACAATGCCACCTTTCTGACTGGTGTTGTAAATCAAACTACTGTTTGCTTAGTTCCTGTTTAAAAAGCATAGTACACTGGTTGCTCGAGGATTTTAATAATAATTTAATTTGTAGGAAATCTTCCCTCTGGTCTCACCAAAAGAAGACAAAGACGAATGAAAGAAGAAGTAAAGACAACTTCACCTGTAAAAGAGGAAAAAGACCAGGAGAATGATGGAGAGTTGGAAGACTCAAAGGAAAAACTTTCTTCTGGTATGAAAATATTTTTTTCATTACTTCATATACTGGTATGTGTGGTTTGATTAAGTTCCCAATCATTTTTAAAACACAAATGAAGTGTTAAACATGGCTGCCTCACTTTAGTTAGTGGTGCAAGTCCTCATTTCATTTTGTCTGGAAAGATGAAGTTCTGTGTTATTTTTCACAGAGAAAGGGTGTCTAAAGGGGTGATTGTGGAAAGGAATTAACACTTTGGGACTGTATCATGGACTATATTTTATTTTGGGAAGAATAAATTATTGAGAATGAGCATGGGAAATGAAATTTGAATGAACTAAACATACTTTTATCTTAGACAGAAGGCATTTGGTTGTATGTGAGAAAAAAAACAGTGGTACATTTGAAATAAGATAACAAGAAAAGGTTAGAAGCAGTTCATCAAGAGCACAGAAGGATCCATTGACCACTTTCATAAATGGCTGCTGGATTAATATTCTTTTGTTTAAATTTAAATTAGCCTTTCTGGGCTTGTTCTCCAGTACAAAATTCAAAAGAATACATTATCTCAAGCGAGACCAGAAAGGCTAATTTAAATTTCAACAAAAGAATATTAATCTGGTAGCCGTTTATGAAATTTTATTAGTTGAAATAACATTTTTGGTCTTTCTAAGTAAGCTGTGAGGAGAAGAGAATTCATGAGTACCAAATTCTGTATTTTTCTTTGCATGTAAACATAACAGTTCAAGGGTATTTGATACATCCTGATACTCATCCTCATTAGTATAGACATTTAATGGTAAGTTATGCACTGAATCCTCAATTTAACTTGAATTAATTCACATATATTGATTGTAGCAGAATTACAACAACAAGTTGCAGATCCAGTGGTAGACAGTGGTGCACCTTCATCATCAAAGCCTCTTCCAGCATCAGCCACCCTCACATTCATCCCAGACAATGAAGTGAAAAAGATTGTCACCATGCCTCAGGTTGAGAATAACAATATTCCTGGAGTAGATAAAAAGATGGTGCTGAGGGACAGAAGAACAACAAGCCAAGAAGGTCCTTTCAGTAGGAAAAGGCCTGCATTGCCTTCCTCTGAAGCAGAAGAAGACAAAAGTATTGTAGCTACTGGTGCTGGTCCTGAGGAGTTCATGTCTACTACAATTTCAGCTGGTATTGATACTGGTTTAGATGGTGGTGAAGAAAAGGACAGTTTAAATGTGTCAGCTCTTGGTGAATCTTTGAAGGAAACAAAAGTGTCAAGAGCACCTGAAAACAGTGTGAAGAAGGAAGAAAGTGAGTTGTCTGGCTTATTTGAAGGTAGCACTTTGTCAGAAAGAACTTCCGGTGATAAAATGGAAGCCGAGAAATGTTCATTAAACGACCACATTTCTGAATCTGATGCGAAACCTAAGATGGGCAAGAGTCAGAATGAGATAAGTTCACAAACAGCAAATGGTAGCAAGACTCTATCTGTGAGTAGTAAATCAGTTGAGAAGGACACAAAGCATGCTGTAGTATCCTCTGCTGCTCACCAGACAAAATCAAGCGCTGCAGATGATGCAGTCACTACTGTTCAACAAACTAAGCCAGAACCAGTATTTAGGCTTGGCTCAGAAGCAAATTACTCCTCCTACATCAATCAGTTTACAGTTAATCCCCTAGCACTAACCAAACAACAGCAGTTGGAGCAAAGAGATAAAAAGCGCAGTGTCTCAAACAAATTTAGTCTTGTTGACTATAAGTGGCATGGGGATGTTTGTGGAAGAAAAGATGTCATTTTGAACACTTTGCGGTTTTCCATAGTTGGTCTTGAAAATTCCATAGCTTCAACCTTCATGCATCCTTCGTGGCCAGTGCAGCGTTCCTCCTGGGTGAGAGCAGTCCATTTGTCAAAGACACCTAAAGAGTTTGCTGCAGCTCTGTCTTTTCTGGAGAGCTCAATTCGACCAATCTGTTATCTTCCTGTGTGGAATGATGCAGTTGGCCATGTGGAGCTGTATCGTATGGTGTCTGAAGCCAAGCAGGCTGGAACCAAAAAGAAAGATCACAAGGAAGAAGAAGACGAGCCTGAGCCAGAACATAAAGGATTTGGTAAGTGCATTTTTTTCTGCCTTTTCATACTTAATATATGGTTCTATTGGTTTGAAATGATGGTGTTTTAACTTAAATGTTATACAACACTTGTGACAGATTCTTGTCACCCAAATGTAAAGAGAATCCAAGAACAAGAATGGGGTCTTGAGTTCATGACACAATTAAAAGTTAATCAGACGTCTTAATGAACAATTTCAAGAGCAGTGCTTTCAATAAGACCCGGGGGATATTCTGTTGTGAGTCTCCGGGTATATTTCACTGCACCCAAGTCACAGAGTCACCATGCTAAGTCACAATCAAGTCGCTCTCAGGCGGGTGTTGCATCAAGGTAGCCACTATTTCAAATCTTATTGAAAGCACTGCAAGAGGAGGACTGATTTTGTGAGTTTCAATGAAATTGAGTTACAAGGGAAAGTCAACTTAGCCATTTGTGTCATACTACTACTTATGATCCATCTTTTTTTTTTCTCTTGAGCAAGTGGTCTAAATACATTAAGTGCTGAATATCCTCAGCTGAGACTGGGGAAATGCTATGTTATCACCCAAGTGATAGTGTTAATTCAAGATAAGAGAAATGTTTGTTCATAAAGTTGTACCATGCAGCAAACAGTAAGCCATTCATAAACATTTTTCCATGGGCATTGCATAATAGCTGAAGGTTTGAAATGATTACAATTGCCACTATCTATGGGGAAAATGTACTTGTATATTTGTTCCTGGAAATTATCTGTTCCTCACACTTTCCCTTGAGCTTCACTCTCAGAAAACTGTCCGTATCTTGGAACAGATACTGTCCATAGACAAATGTACAAGCATATTTTCATACCAAATAGAGGCTACTGTTCATTTCTGATCTAAAATGGAGCACTATTACACCTGATTCAGAGAAAGCAGTCATGTTGTAATTTGGAATTACATATACATAAATATGATATACATAACTAAAAATTTAACATGTAGTGAGGAAACTTAAAGAGAAATCAAGAGGCTTATGCAAGCTACAGGCTCCTCAGATCACCTTGTTATTGTTCATTTTTCTAGTGCGGCATTTTGTCCTCACCATTCATAGTGTTGTATTTGATAACCCTTTTTTAATCATTTCAAACCTCATCTCGCCCCCCTCTAGGGCTTGATGGGGAATTTACTTGTTGGTATTTATCTAACAACTGAAGGATGATGTTCTTTTGATAATTAATGAATTCATTTCCTTTTCTATCAGTGAATTACACATGGGTGCCACACCACCAAGTTTGGAAACAGAAAGGTGAAGAATACAGACTGTTTGGAGGAGGTGGCTGGGTGTGGACTAGTGGTTTACAACTGCGGAAACGGAAACGTCCGAGTAATGCTACGGACAGCTTTGTTAACAAAAAACGAAGACTCTTGGACACTACCAATAAAATTGTAGCATTTAAAGAAGCCAAAAGGAAGGAAGCAGCGAAAAAAGAAGCGGAGAGGGTTGTTAGGGTCGCTGCACGAACATCCTCTTCTCAAGCTACGCCTTTGTCAGTAGAGAAAACTGCAAGAGCTCCTCAAACAGCAGCGACTGGTACGACAACCCTTGTTGCTGCACCAGTACAAACGCAGACTGCAGTTACCTCATCATCTGGTTCTTTCTCACCATCAACAGCTCCTCGGACAGCTCAGTCTACCACAGTTACCACCGCTACAAAGCCAATACAGAATCTTGTCTCTGTTCAACTTGGAGCTCCTTCGACCTCTTCAACTCAAGGAACATCAACAGCTCTTCGAATGGTCCAACCTGTTACTACTATAGCTTGTACAACGCCAGCACAGACTCCTGTCACACTTCAAAATGGCGCCACGTTAACATCTTCCACTTCAATTCAATCAGCTGGTCTTCAAATGTGCCAAGCTACAACAACAACTACCGTTACTCCAGTCATGGCTCAAAGTGGTATCACATCAACACGCGCAACCTCACCACAACCATCTGAGCAAAATGTCTCGAAACAGACCTTGGCATCCTCTTTTCCTTCTCTCAATACTTCTAGTACTTCAATGCTCAACGCTGCCGTGTCTTCTACAACGTCTTGTAATCTTTCTAAGGTTATTTCACAGACTGATAGCCTGAAAACTTCTTCTCATCAACTGTCAGTTAGGCTGTCGACATCGCCATCATTAACAGTAGCTGAACCGGTCTCTTCTCTTACTTCATGTGAAGAAACTACTTTTTCGAATAAATTACCTCACTCTGAAGTTAGAAGCTCTAGTTCATTGTCACAAGAAGCTTCCTTGTCCCCTCAAACTCCTTTTAATAGTTCTACTCTTCCATCGTCCACACTTCCATCAGAGACGCCCTCTTCAATCCCACAGCCACATGGGCAGATCCCTTCAAGTACAACCTCATCCAATCCACTGGTTGTCTCATCCAATTGTTGCGATCTTCCCTCTTCACTTGCACAATCTTTTTCAACCTCCTCGGCTCAAGGTTCTCAGACAATTAATTCCGTTAGTGAATGCTCAGCTCTACCACAGCCATCAACTCCACCCAACTGTGTCTCCACCGAGGCAGCCATTGTAGTGTCTCGGGTTCCACCTACTACTATGTTAAAGGATTCCTTACCAAGTCTGGATTCACCACCTTCACCAAGTGCTCCAAACACAACTGGGGACAATAATAATCATCATCAATCACTAAGAGACGAACGTAAACCTAATGTTAATGATGACAAAACTGGTGATCACGCAAAACGTCTAGGAAGCGCCGAAATGGACGTGCCAGGGTCTTTATCCAATCCTTCTTCAGATATTTCTAGTGATGTTGGTATAGTACCCGTGAGACACGCCATGCCTTGTCAGACGAATAAAGATCAGATGTATGCCAGTTCATATGAACCTTGTCTTACAAATGTTGTAAGCGATAAAGCACTCGACCGATTTCGTGATTCCTTTGTAGCTAGTCAAACCACCTCTCCTGTTCAGCAAAATTCTGTGGAAGCTACTGTTGAAATGGATTCTTCGCCTTGCGCCCCTCTTACTGGAGAAGCATCTGAGAGTAGTAACTTTAGTACAAACTGTTCACCGACGAGCGCTGCTGATGTGGACGCTGCTTTAATCTCGGAGAGAATAACACATTCTCAGGATCATATACCAAATTCTGTGAAACAGGATAGTTCTTTGTCTAATTTGGAGTCGCATTGGATTACTCAAGAATTGTCTAGCCCTGTTAAAGATTCAGACACTTTCGAGAATAAAACGAAGCATGGATTGTCTGATCAGGGAAGAATAAAAGATACGTCGTGTGCCCTTGAGAATAAACCAGTTGATACTACGCAAGGAACTGAAGTTTTATCAACACATTTAGCAGATGCTCTGCATGAACAAGAATCCATAGATATTGTTAAGGAGAACATGCTGAACGGGGCACAAAATTTGGCGGCCCGAAAAGGTATATCTCTGACATCAATGGATAACAGTTCCCCAAAGGACGCACAGATGGAATATACTATTGAAAAAGTGCAGTCTATAGAAGATAGTGTGTCAGTTGAGGGTCAAGGCAATACTTCAGCGAAGAACGATTTGAGTAGCCACGAGGTTTCCTCAACTAATGATGATTTACTTGACTGTCAAAGGGGACATTCAACGTCCTCAGAAAAATTTATGTCAAAAGAAGGACTAATCAAGGATTGTAAAAATGAACTTCCAGCAATGCAGAAGACAGCCGTTGTTTGTCTTAGCAACAAAGAGACAAATTGTGCAAGTGGGCTGTCGCTGGGAAGTCAAACCTCTAATGTCTTTGTCAATGAGCTTCTAGCACAAGACAGTGACACAAAAGAAATCAAAGAAGGAAATGGATTATCAACTGTGACTGAAAAGAAAACAGATGTTAAACTCAATCCAAATACTACCTTAGAAGGTAGTTTAAAGGGTTCAGATGCAAATGTCAGCGAAATTCCCGCGCGTGAGGAGGTTCGCTTTACGGCAAACGATAATTTGATACTTAACAAAGGGGACAATCTTTTACACTTGGAAAGCAATAAATCGTATACCACTTGTAATGTCTATGAAGAGGCCTCGTTGAATGATGATATGACAAGTACTGTCACTTCACCAAGAGATAAAATTGACGAGGTTACTTCTAAAACGTCTTGTTCGGAATTAACTAGAACTTTGGAAATGGAATCCTTAATTTCGCTTGATTGCGCCAGTAAACGCGAACAGACTTCTGGAGTAACTGAAGCCTCTGAAGGCAATAGAAATCAAATGGACACTAAACAGAGTACAATGCGCTATGATCATTCAGCCAGTACTAGAAACGAGAGCAGTGAGGGAATTGATACAATTGTAACGACCAGTCATGCTCCAGCAGTTTCTCAAGGGACTGAGGAGTCTCAGTCGTTGACGTATGCAAAGGATAATAACTCCATAAACTCTGAAGCCTCGCCCAGTTGCACTAAGATTGATAATGTGGATCCTGAAAAGAGCTGCGTCTCCGCAGCGGAACCCATGGACCGTGATGCGACTAACCTCTCGTTGACACAAATCTCTTGTGAAGGTTCATTACCTCCGTCGAGTACCGGCGAGACTAAAGAGCAACCTATGGATATTGATGTTACCTCAGAGTCATCTTCTGTAACATCTTCAGTAACAGCACCTTTGACTGGCATTGTTTTATCAAAAAATACAGGCCCTGGTTCTCAATCTGTATCGTGTACAGAAAAGGCAATGAACTCTACTTCATCTACCAATCAAGAATCCTCAGTTAAGGACGACGTTGCAGCCAAAATGAACATGGAGGGTCTTCCAGGCACTGTAACGACCGATTTATGCTCAACAGCAGCCTCACCCTCAGCGACTCCATCAGCTGCAACAGACACGACAGGGGCGCAATTCCTAGATATTAGAACTCAAGTGAGTTGTTCCTTACCTTCGACGACATCAAGTGTTGTTGTTCCAACAACGTCTCCACCTCCATCGATTACACAACAAACTCAGGTTTTGATAAGTGCTGTAACCACCGCCAGTCAGTGTTCATCTTCAGGGACTCCTGCAGCACCAGCTGTACAACCGGCAGCTGTAGTAAGTGTTAAAACAACAACCTCATTGACTACGCAACCTGCACCCTCAGCTGTGTCATCTTCTACAGCCTTCCTAAGCCCCCGAGTAGTCGTTGGAGGTACTCAAGGCATCGCGTTGGGACAATCTCCTGTGGTACCTTCGATCCAGTCAGTTCCAGTCAAAGCAGTGGCTGCATCAACCCCAGTGTTCACAACAGCAATTACCAGAGGCATTGCTTCACCGAAAACAGCCATTGCTGTTCGACCCCAAGGGCAGGGAAGCCAATATATACCAATAGGACCTAAGCCCATTCTCCCTTCTCCGAGGCCACCTGTTATTGCTCCAGGTGTCCAAGGATCCAATGTGGTAAGAATCAGCACCCAGCCTGCAGCTGCCTCGAGGCAGCAGACTAACCTGGCTCCAGTGAATAGCATAGCTGCATTGGTAGCGAGCATCCCAACATCTGGTGCAACCATTGGACCAACACAGCTTATTAAGCTGGTTACCCCGGATGGTAAGACATTAACCCTGCAGGGTTCACAGCTGGCTGCTATTGCTCAGCAGGCAGCGTCTCCAATGGGGCTTGCTGTACCGAAGACGATAACAGTACAAGTTGCAGCAAGTGCCGTGCAGAAGAATCAATCTACAACTGTCCAAAAGACGATCGGCGTCAAGACACCAGGCGCCACCATTACTGTACAGAGAACACAACCACAAGTTGCACAAGCAAAACCTCAAGTTGTCGTCACCGCAAAGGCTCCTCCACCCAAACCTGTGAAAGAGGAAAAGTTCCCATCTTTAGAACCGCTTATCAAAGATCCTCGTGCACTTTTGAACCGCAGGCTAGCCAAGTGGCCGTTGCGGCACTCGGTGAAGAGCGTGTTTGCACTTCAAAAACACGAACGTCGAAAACTCGGTAGGAAAGCTGGAATGAAAGAGGTCAGTGGATTTTCTTACACGTCACGGGCTGTTGTGAAACACTGGCCTGCAGGAATACCTCGTCCTTCTTTCAAGGTGGCATGGCGCTTCCGTACCCAGAGTTTAAAGACACTCGCTGGTGCAGGGCTCCAGCTCAGGATTTTGCAGTCCTGTTTGAAATGGGAAGAGATGAATATCCGGCCGCCTCGCGGGAATAGCAACACTGTGTACACAAGCTCGGGTTAGTGTTACTGAAGTTAAAATCGCTTCGGTTGTACTTTAAGGTGGTCGTGCTCTTGGTTTCCCGGTGATTCGTGGATTGGAAAAAGGCCAAAATCTTAGTAACAACTATTTGGGGGAACCTTAGTGGTAGTTAGTAGACTGCTCTTTTACGTATAATTTTGTGACTTCCGTTACAGAATACTTTTGTTGCTCTCTTAAGGCACAACGACAACAGAGATTACAGACAGAAAATTCGTTTCCCTGGATGGTCTCTGCTGCAAGTATCTCGTGCGTAAAACCGTACGTACTCTAACCAAACCTGTAGTAGAACCGCCTCGTCCGGCCCCCACCAAGAGCAAGAGAGGTCGAACGCTGAGGCCTAAGATTGTCCTACAGCCTGATGATGAGGAAGAGGCCTCGGTCCCGTCCGGGCCACGCATCTTGGAGGCTTGGTACCCAGAGGTAAATAGCTAGCCATGATGGAAATAATGAGTTTAATTTTGGCTGAAATTGGAGGGAGAGACGATGTTTTTCACTGATGCAAGCTTATGAGGAAAACGTCGTAGTGCTTTCAAAGGAAAAAACCCATGAGCTGTGGCGACTGAATGAAATCTAAGGAACTACTGTAGTTTCACCCCTTGATTCAAACGCCAGATTCGTAATCTGTAAATTATCGTGGACGTTACAGTGACTTGAAACTGAGTTTTGCATAAACGATTCTGTCAAAGCACAAAGTCTTAAAGCTTCAATCTATTTTTTTTTAAATTTCTTTTCACGGAACCGAGGCGCCTACACCACCAGATGAATTACTGTATCAGTTACATAGTGGTGAGAATATCTGTATCGTTGCTCGAAGAACTGGTTACTTTTTCTTTGGATCATCTAACCCTGTGAACCACGAACGTGACGTATTTGCTTGTTTTTGTTTTACGATGTCAAGGCAAAACTAGAACTGTGGGAGATACGCCAATATCACGAGCGAATCGACCGTGAGAGAGCCCTGGAACGAGAAAAGAAGGAACAGGAGGAAGCCATCCGTAGGGCAGCGGAAATACGCGCCGCTGCGCTTCAGCGGAAACAACAAGAACAGCAGGCGCGGCAGCAACAGCAGCATCTGCTGAAGATGAATAAGAAAAAAGTTCAGAACGCCATCAAGACGCAGCAACGAAAGGGGACTGGTAACAAACCCACTGTTGTTAATCAGCCTGTTACTTTTAAGCCTGCTGTAACTCCACCGGTACCTCTTGGGGCTATACGTCGGACTCTACCCGTCGTGCGCCCCGCTGTTCCTAAGCCCATAGGGATCCAATCCTTGGGGTTAAAACCACAGATTGTACCACGGCCCATGGTTGCCAACTCAGCGCAGTCTGTGCAGCGGTTACAGCCCAAACCACAGGTTTCTCAGCGTGTATATACTCCTGTGATTCCAAGTAACGCGTCACGTGCGACTGGGACTCCTGTTCAAGGTGGAGTAACGAGTAACGCAGGTAATTAAAACGACTGTAGCTATTGCACAAATGTGGACAGGCGAGGAAGAACTCAATATGAGTCGGTGTGCAGTAAACGGTAAATCGAAACCTATTAAGTTACAAGGACGCTTTTTTTTCTCTATACTTGGTGAACACAAGGCCATGCTAGCCCAAATGAAACAGCATTTTCTGATTTTTATTTTTCACCGCCCTTTAGTTTGACGTTACAGTGCAATCATTTGTCTTTCAGTAACTCGCCCTGCCCCAGTAATAGCCTCGTCTACAGTTGGTGCAGTCCGGTCCAATCCTATGGCAACATCCCGGATGAAGCATTCGTCAAAAGATCAGGTCAAGCAGACGGTCAAGACGAAATCACGCAAGTCGGGAGGGGTTGCTCCTTTGTTGCATCATAAGAAGTATGTGACGTTGGAATCGAGACAAGACATGAATAGGTAAGTACCTACATTTAAATCAAGTTTTGTGTCGAGTTGTTCATTTTCTTTCAAAAGAATGACCCTCAGCGGAATCAAATTGAGGCTTATCATGACTTTGCATGACAACTGACTGCTAAATCCCCTTTATTTGGCGCCGCTGCAAAATTTTGCTAATTCCAGCTGTATCCAGAAAGCAAGTCCTAGAGAGGTTTTGCACAGCAGCCATGTTGTATGGCAGGAACAATGAAAATATTTTGCATAAGAAAGAAATTTTTTTCCCATGGGTAAAATAATCTATTGTTCCTGCCATCCAACATGGCTGCTGTGCAAAACCTCTATATGAGCTTTGAATGACTAACTATAACTCGCGTTGAGTTTTCTGTAACATACAAGTTCGAGCCGGTATCACACCATTGAATCAAAAGTCACTGATGGGATCTTCCTTTCCCCTAGTGACATCTGTAATGAAAATCATTTTACCCATCGTAATAAATATTTTTGTTTCGAATCACGCTTTGATTTATGTGGGAATAAATTTCGTTTTGAAATATAACCTTTTTTATGTTTGCATTCAGTGATAACATGTTCCTTCTCCTTTATCTGGTCTCACAGTTTTCGTTATTTTACAGACATGCCATTTGTCGAAAAGTTCTTGATGGCATTTTGGATAAGATTGATCGCAATGAAGATGCCGAACGCAAAAAAGAAGAGAAAAAACGCGCAAAGGAAGAAAACCAGGCACTTAGGTTGGAACGTCAGAAAGCAAACAAACTCAGTGTTTTACTTCAGAAGCGAAAAGAGGTGCTCAAACGGGAACTGATGCGTAAAAGAGACCTCCTCGAGAGAGATCTTATTTTGGAGCTTCGGCAGCAACAGCAGACCAATAAGAACAAACGGAAGCAAGGGGCCACAGACAGAAGGAACTCGCAGAGTACACCAGAGGGGCCCAAGGCCAAGAAGAAGAAAATTGAAGATGAACGACTCTTTTGCATTTGCAAGAAACCCTACGACCCAACTCAGTGAGTTCGGCTGTGTTTTTGTTTGTTTCGTTGTTGTAATTGATGTTTAATAGATATTGGTCGATAGATATGAGGTTGATAACATACCGTCACAGTTTTCTCCATAGTTTACTGTCATTTTTTTCTGCCATAGATTTTATATTGGTTGTGACATGTGTGCAAACTGGTTTCACGGGAGCTGTGTCCAGATCTCTCCAGACGCTGCACAAAGTATGGATGAGTGGACCTGTGCCGAGTGTGCCCAGGCTCGCCGTGGAGTGGAGGAGGAAGAACTTTATTGCTTGTGTCGCCAGCCATATGACGAGAAAAAGTAACTCGTGTTAATTTGGTTCAGCCGATATCTTATTTAGTTACGTAAAAGAAAAGGACAGATACTTTTTCTTGAGCGATGTTTCGTGCAACTGAAACCATCCCAAGGAAGAGCTTTATTCAACAGTGACGTCTGCACGTGCAAAACGCAAGGCATTGATCATAGAAATGAAATTTTATCTTCATTGCCCTTTTTTCATTACAGCGGTCACTTAGTTTTTATGTAGAACAAAAACATACTGTCAGAGTCTGGGCATTTCTTCATTACCTTATAATCTACTAACCTCTAAGTTCTAATTGTTTGTTTTTATCAGGTTCTATATCGGCTGTGATAAATGTCAGGACTGGTTTCACGGAGCATGCGTTGGAATCACACCTGTTGATGCTGAAAATATCGAGTATTACACTTGCCCGCGATGCACACAGTCCCAGGCTCAAGCGAACAAGCAGCCGCTTACCGGAAAAGACTACGACTCGCTTAAAGGATTGCTGAGATCGCTACGGGTAAGTGGAGAGACAGGACTTTTCTTATCTTTTTGTAAACACTAGAAAGGTGAAAATGATCCCAAATAGGCATACATAGCTAGTAGGCTCAATGTTTCATGATGCAGACATTTTGAAGTGTGTCCTTAAAAATTTATTCAGACGTTTTCACCGGTGTTTTAATGCTGATTTACGTCCCATTCATGTTGTAGAGTCATAAAATGGCGTGGCCGTTCCTAGAAGGTGTCAATCCAGACGAGGTTCCCGAATACTATGAGGTCATCACTGATCCAATAGGTGAGTCACGTCATGTATGCCTCAGTAAATTGGTAAAAGTCTACAAGTTTTGTGCCTTTTTTAAGGAACACACTATTTGTTTATTGTAAAATAATTGTATTCTTATTTTCTCTAGTGCCGCCCTTCAGCAGTCCGGAGGCTTTCTGCGTGAGGCTTTGCTCTCGCCTTTCTTTCTTTCCGAGATGACTTCGAACCGTTGTTGCCCTTTTTCCCTCCGTCCTATGGTCCCTGTCCCTCTCCACGACATTTTCCAAGCCGGTGACACACTTGGCGGTTTTTTACGCCGATCGGCGCGCAAATCGCCATGTGCGTCGCCGGCTTGAACACTGTTGAGTTCTTAGACCAAACACTTAAGCCTCGCACTCCTTATCTCATCCAATAAAAGCTCACTTGAGATAAACTTGTATCCCATTCAGAAATATGTCGACACATACTATTCAGACTGGGATACGCTTTTTTTTTCTTTTTTTTTCTTTTTTTTGGGGGGGGGGGTGGTGGCTGTTTTTAACGCTTTTTCTTTTAACTCAGATGACATTTATTTGACAGCATTTCCTTTTCTTCTCGCTAGACTTGTCCAAAGTCGAGGAACGTCTAAATTCCAAGTCTTACGCGTGCCTGGAATCATTCGTTAGCGATGTAACCAAGATTTTTGACAATTGCCGTTACTTCAACCAGAGAGATTCACCGTACTACCGCTGTGCTGAAGTATTGGAGAGCTTCTTCGTGCAAAAACTACGTGCATTAAAAACCAGAAAATAAGTTAAACTGGTATCTAAAGTTGACAAAGATGGCCTAGAAGATTAGTCTTCCTGACCTGGCAAACGGAAGAAAAGTTAGCTACACACCTTGTCCTATAAGTCGCATAACCAGTTCAGAAACTTTAGACTTTGTCAAAAAAGAAAAAAAAGAAACCGTGTTTGTAACAAAAAATATTATGTATTAGCTGAACTTGCCTTTTTTTACAGTGTGACGGAGCCACTGAAGGAGTAAGTTTAGACATAGTGTTATAACCAGTGAGGTTTGTAAACGTTGTGGAAGCCATGTATCTGATTGGTAATTGTGTAAGCCAGTTACATTACCAAACGCTCACTTTCCTTGTAGAGATCGATCATGAGATGTAAGTTATAGTGTGGAGTTAAGAGAAGAATTACCTTGGCGAAAAACTATTATTATGGAAGGGGAAATAGATTAGTTAGGTGGCTTTTCGCCGTGTCATAGACTTATTAAATTAAAAGGAAACTGAAGTGTTAGTAATTAACGTTGTCATAGTGGTTTTGGTTCACTGTCAGGAGGCAAACCGTGTAGATAAACCATCATCTATTAAACATTTTGTAATCAGTTTTGATTGGTTTCTTGCGACAACAGCCCTGAATATTACATATTTCTTTGCGTTGTATGGAAGAGCCATAACAGAAAAACTCGAATAGCCAGTTATTTTTTTACCTCAATCTTTCCGGCAAACTTGGTGTGTGGTTTTTCTTATCTAGAGTTTGTTCAGTTGTTCTGCTCTCCTCTCAGAGAAGATTATTGTAGTCCTGCGCTTTTTATATGGCTCACTAAATAAACCGAGCGTTTTTCTTCCCGATTACGATTATCGAGAGAATAATATGAGATTGTTCCCTGGGAAGGTAAAAAAAATCAAGAGGAATAGATGTGTCGAAGCTTAAATATCATTCTTACAAATGATTGACAAGCCGTAAATCAAAGGATGAACGGTCCTCGTTAAAGATGCCACGATTTATTTTAACCAATGACTAGCGGACACATCCAGGAAAGTCGCGTATCAGCTGGGTTGCTCGAACTAATGTACCGCAAGGAAAATTATTTTGGTTTTTTATTCATTCTCATATCCGTTTATAATCGATGGTTTGGGTGTAACTAAACAAAAGCGACCAGAACAAGATTTAGGTACTTTATCGATAGACCTTAACTCTAGGACCTCAAGGTCAGAGTTAACTCTGTCAAGGTGTAGTAAAAGTTCACCTGAGCCTTATTTGTGATCAACAAGACACCCCATTTAAAATAACTTAACGAATGTTTACTCTTCAGGTAATCTTTTCATCTTATTATCGACAAATTTTGGCGGATATAACAAAAGATATATGCATATTTCCGTTTGACAGCAACAAATTAGTTTAATTAAGAAACGTCCTACAAAGCCGAGGCCCTTAACCACACATTACCAGAACTGATTACTTACGTGTAAAAGACATTGTGTCCTCTGTGAAAGAAGGTCGATTAAGCTAAAAGTATGGGATATAGTACTGTATTTATTTTTGTTCTTCTCTGTTTCTCGTCGTTCACTGCCTATGGTAAGCAGAATTTTTTTTGTGGTCTAATCGAGTCTTTCAAAATTTTGTTTATTTTTACGTTTCTGTATCATGGTGCAAGAGCAACTTCTGAGCTTAGAGGCCCACTAAAGAGGGAAGAATTTTGCTCTGATTTCACTAGGAAAGCCGGGACTTGCGATCCTTTATGCACCGATGTATCTTGACGACAGTGGGCAAAGCATTAAATTGCGTCACCTCTTTTTTCGAACGAGTGATAATAACAGTAACGCAGTAAAATTCAGATTTGATGTGAAAAATATTTTCAAATCGGTTTGTTGCTATATCTGCCTTAGAGTCCTGTCTTGCCGTCTCAACAGAACTGGACGGATTTCGGGGTAACTTTTCCTTGGCGCTTTATTTCGGTCGAACGCCGAGGTGTGCATTTGTGCCAGTGTTTCTCTATATTTTACTCTGGTCGGGAGGTAGATCTGTTCCCTATCCAAAAAGCTATGCCAGGAAAACAATGGAAAACAACAACAACAACAAAAAATCAAATTTGACTCGGATAGGGCGGAGGCCCGAGTGTGTTCAATTGCCCTGAGTTTTAGGCCAGCACTCTCTTATCTGCTTGACAGCGCTAATAATCAATCCTGATGTTCCTGGGACTCGTTGATTTTTTTTTTTGTTTCCAGCTAGATAACAATGGTAGTTAGGGATGAAAGCAAACATGTCCCTTCTCTTTAAAGTTAAACGATAACAATTATTGCAATACCTGTGACGGATTGTCTCTTTCTATTCATAATGAATAATCGAATGAGAGGACAAAAGAAAAACAATTTGCTCAGTTTGCTATATGACATCAAGAATTCTCAACACAAGTATTACCTTTATACGAAACAAGGGTTATTAACGAATATACGACGTTTCAGACAACCGAGTAACTCGTTAAGAAGAACTGCGCACAACTTACTCCACAGAAGTCTGGTTATTTCGGGATCAATTCGTTCATCCTCAATACTCGGCAGGGTCTTTTTCAATGAACGACCCATTAAAAAAAATAAACACGACTTACTTTACAGTAATTCGGCTTCTGGTCTTTTCTTATCCATTGAAAGCCTCGTGGATCAAAATATCCGGATACAAGTTCATCAGTGGTATCAGCGTGGGCACAGAAGCTACTTACCATGGCGATTTAGCTAGTGCCAGGCCTCTCTGCCAACAGAGATGCGACCAACTCACTTCTTGCAACGCGTTCCGTCTGTAAAGCTTTGTGGGCACAGTGTTCTGCACTCTGTTTGAAACGATCACTGATTACTCATGCCCGACTGATAGTGTTGATTGGAACTGCATGTTTGCTGACGGGGAGTCGTGGAAGAAAATCGACTCGAGGAGTTAGAAGGTGAAATGTTAAGTATTGCGTGCTTAGATTAAGATAGCAGACAGGTTTCCAAGCCATTTTGTAGGCCACGATGCAACGCCTTTTAAGTGATTGATTTTTCTCATTGGCGTAAGACTCATAATTAAAGAAAAAAGCACTTGCTCGCGTCGTTGCCCAGACCTTCAAGTCATTCCTTGGTGCTGCATTCATTTAGGAGGCGTGTATTAAAAATGGAGTTTTTTGGAGTATGGAGGGGGGGGGGTCGCAGCTTTCCGGAGGAGTTAATCGTCAATTTTCCGTTAGGATGTATTTCGAACTGACCATTATTATTCACCAACTTACAACTCAGAAAAGAAAGTAATCGTAGGAAACATGAAACCTGCTTCACTTTTGAGTATAATCATGATAAAACTGCAAGTGATCGTTGCCATTAAACAAGCTGCTTAGTCCTTTCGATGAACATT